ATTATTAATGAGGCTGACCATTTTGTGGTTATTAGCCTTTTGTGTTGCCTTTCCTGTAAAATTTTTAATTATTTTCCTACTAAGTAGTTCAACTTTCTGCTGGATTCATAGACATATATTCTGGATTTAGTACTTTGTGGTATATGCTCCATACGTTCTACTTTATGGCATGTCTTAGACTCTCATTTCAGTGTCTTTTAATGCTCAAAAGATTATGTTTTTGTTTTTTTGGGTTTTTTTGTAGAGACAGGGTCTCACTAGCTGGTTATTTAATGTAGCTAAGAAAACTGTAGATTTTTATATATGTTCTGTACCCAACCCCTTAACGAACGATTTTATTAGCTCTAATACATTTCACTTGTTTTTTCTCAAACACAATCATATTTGAAAGTGACAGTGTATCTTCTTTGCCATATTTATAATCTTATTTATTTTCTATCCTTATTGCATTGGCTGGAACTTCTAGCATAATGTTGAATAATTGTGGTGACAACAAGCATTCTTATTGTCTTTCAGACTTCAATGGTATATCATTAGTCAGGATTCTCCAGAAAAATATGACCAATAGAGGGGTGTGTGTGTGTGTGTGTGTGTGCGCGTGTATAAAGATTTATTTTAAGAAATTGGTTCACACAATTTTAGAGGCTAGCAAGTCCAACATCTGCAGTTAAAGTCCGAAGACCATTAGGCTGGAGACCCAGGAGAGAACTAGTATCGCAGTTCAAGCCTGAAGGCTGTCTGCTGACAGAATTCCCTCTTGCTCAAGGAAGGCTAGTCTTTTGTTCTACTTACTCCTTCAGTTAACTGGATGAGCGCCCACCCCCCGCCACCTGCCACGTTACAGAGGGCAATCTGCTTTACTCACAGTTCACTGATTTAAATGGTAATCTTATCCCAAAACACTCTCATCGAAACATGCAGAATAATGTGTGACCACTTATCTAGGCACCCTGGATCAGCCAACTTGACACATAAAGTTAGCGTTACAAATGGGAATTCATTCAACAAATCTTGAGCACCTAATATGTGCTAGACATTGTACTGTGCTCTAAGGATACAGAAGTGAACAATTGCTGTCTATTCTGGAAAAGAATGAAAATTATCAAGTAAAAACTAAACAAGATAATTATGGATTGTCATAAATAAAAACAGGGTATTACAGAGAAAAAAGTGGGGTAGATAGTGGTGGCTAGTTTAGATTGGATCATCAAAGATGTTACAGATTTTTCAATGTTGAGTAAAATGTTTGGTCTAGTTTATGATAAACAACCACTATTAAAACAGTACTGATGCATGTCGCAGCATGGATAAACCTTGAAAACATTATCCTAAGTGCAAAGCAAGTATATTAGAGCAACAAAGCACAGGAAAATTGCTTCTGGTAAACAGAGCAGGGCTACCCCACAGGCAGAGTAACACTCATGGGTTACTGGCTAGCTATATATCTATATATCTATATCTATATATATCAATCTATATATAGATCGATATAGATATATACATATATACAGAGAGGGAGAGAGACGGAGTCTCGCTCTGTTGCCCAGCCTGGAGTGCAGTGGTGCGCTCTTCTCGGCTTTGCAACCTCTACCTCCAGGGTTCAAGCAGTTTTCCTGTCTCAGCTCCCAAGTAGCTGGGACTACAGGTGTCTGCCACCACGCCTGGCTAATTTTTGTATTTTTAGTAGATGCCGGGTTTCACCATGTTGGCCAGGCTGGTCTCTAATCTAATACTGACTTATTTCCTTTTTCAATAGGAAAGGCATTAAATTTTATTAAGTGTTTTTAAGGCATCTATTGAAATGTTCATGTTTTATTTGGCTTTGTTTTTGCTGCATTAATCTGTAATGTATTACATTAACAGCATTCTAATTTTTGAAACATTATAAAACCCCAGGGTTTAAAAAAAAAACAAACCAGGGTTATTACATATTATTATTTTAATACATGGCTGAATTAATTGCACTAATATTTAATTTAGGATATTTCAAACTATAGCCCACAGGCCCAATCTGAGCCACCACCAGTGTTTGTACAGCCTGCAAGCTAAGAATGATTTCAACATTGCGAAGTGGCTGAAAAAAATAAAAAGAAGAGTATCTCATTACATGTGAAGCATATATGAAATTCAATTTTTGGTTCATAAATAAAGCTTTTGTATTAGTTTCCTATTGTTGTGATGATAAATTGCCACAAACTTACGTGGTTGAAAACAATATAAATTATTCTTTCACAGTTTTGGAGGTCAGAGTCTGAAACCAGTTTCACAGAGCTCATGTCAAGGTCACTGGCAGGGCTGATTCCTTCTGGAGTCTCGGAGAGGAGAAAACTTTTCCTTGCCATTTCCAGCTTCTAGAGCTGCAGTCCTTATATTTCTTTTCTTGAGGCCCCTCTTCCATCTTCCCATCCAGCATCTTGGCATCTTCAAATCTCTCTGCTTCTGTCGTCACATCGCCTTCTGTTTCTCTGAATGGCACAGCCGAATTCATAATAACAAAATAGTATGAACAATTCGAATGTCTACCAACGGGTGAATGAATACTCAAAAATTCTGAATACTATTTGGCAATAAAAATATATGAGTTGTAACAAGGTACAAAGTACTGATGCATGTCACAGCATGGACAACCTTGAAAACATTATCCTAAGTGCAAGAGGCTAGAGGCACACGACCACACAGTGTAGGACTCCATTTATATGAACTGTCCAGAAAAGGTAAATCCAGAGAGACAGAAAGTGTGTTAGTAGTTGCCCGGGGATAGGGGTAGGAACAGAGAATGGCTGTAATGCCAGTGAATCCCAAAACTGGAGCTGAGCCTGAGAGGGTTCTTGACTTTGCACAGGAAAGAATTCAAGAGCAAACTGACAGTAAAATGAAAGCAAAGCAAGTACATTAGAGCAACAAATCACAGGAAAATTGCTTCTGGTAAACACAGCAGGGCTACCCCACAGGCAGAGTAACACTCATGGATTGCTGGCTAGCTATATATCTATCTATATATATATATAGATATCTACAGCTATCTATATGTATATCGATATATAGATAGATATATATAGAGAGAGAGACGGAGTCTCGCTCTGTTGCCCAGCCTGGAGTGCAGTGGTGCACTCTTCTCGGCTTTGCAACCTCTGCCTCCAGGGTTCAAGCAATTCTCCTGCCTCAGCTCCCAAGTAGCTGGGACTACAGGTGCCTGCCACCACGCCTGGCTAATTTTTGTATTTGTAGTACATGCTGGGTTTCACCATGTTGGCCAGGCTGGTCTCCAACTCCTGACCTCAGGTGATCCACCCACCTTGGTCTCCCAAAGTGCTGGGATTACAGGCATAAGTCAGGGCACCGCGCCAGTGGCTAGCTATATTTAATAGCTACTCCTTCATTGTATGCTAAATAAGGGGTGGGTTATTCACGAATTTTCTAGAAAAGGGATGGGGAGTTCCTCTGGAACTGAGGATTCTTCCCTTTTTAAACTATATAAGGTAAGGTCTGGGCATTGCCATGGCATTCATAAACTGTCAGGGTGCCGGTGGAAGTGTGGTAGCATGTTTAATATATTATAATTAGTGTATAATGAGCAGTGAGGGCACTAGAGGTCACTTTGGTCGCCATCCTTGTTTTAGCTGGTTTGGGCCTGTTTCTTTAGGGCAGTTTTGGCCGTTTTTTTAGGGCATCCTGTTCTGACCGGATCTTGTTTTGCTCAGCGGGTGGTGATCAGTGCTTCGAAAATAAGTCCTGTTGGTCCCCTACCTCAACTGTAACAGTGCACATACTTTTCGGGGGGACAATGGAAATGTTCTTAAATTATAGTGATGGTTGCAAATAGTTTTAAAATTACTGAAAATCATTGAATGGTGCACTTCAAATGAGTGAATTTTATGGCATGTAAATAAATTTTTTTAGAAAACACAGCTAAAAACTTAGGAGACAAGGAAGTATTAAGACTTTGTAATTTGGGAAAACACTTGTGATAAATGACAGTGACTATGTGGTTTTGTGGAATGTATTTCCTTGTACGTAACCGTGACAGAAAAGAGGGCAGGTGCCAGCTGCACGGGGCTTGGGGAAGAGTCATTCATTTAATAAATAATTTTTTTTCTGAGCATTATTCATACACAGGAGGTTCACGGTGAAAACAAAAATTTACAAAAAGCAACCCTGTCTTCACCTGGGAGCTTATAGTGCAGTGAGGAGACAGACACATCCATAGCTCGTGAGGTGACCAGGGAAGGACAGGAAGAGCGGGGAGGCGATCAGGAGAGGCCTCGCTGTGAAAACCACACACCCTGCTGACCCCGAGAAGACACGGCCCACGCTGGGAGGGAGAAGCCAGGACAAAAGCCCGTCGTCGTGGGTTCGTGCCTGGTGGGTGGTGGTGAGGATAGCGGAGGCTGGGCTGCCCCGGGCCTCCAGGGAAAGGAGATAGAGAGGGGAGACGTGGGGGACCCATCGCGTGCAACAGCCTAGGCCACTGCCGGCCGCTGGCTTTGGTGATGAGCGCGGAGCCTTTGGAAGATCCGGCGGGGTCGGGGGGCGCGGGTAGGCTTCCACAGCATCCACATGGCTGCGGCGTCGCCGACAAGGCCCAGGCGGGGGCAAGATGGTACGAAGCGACCGTTTAAGTGATTGTTACAGTCATCCCCGCAAAGATAACAGGAGGCTTGACCCATGTAGAAGTTTGCGAAGCGGTTGGATTCTGTAAGCGTTTGACCCTAACGGGACTAACGAATTGTCTATGGATGTGAGGAAGAGACTGGTCAGAGCTGATCGCGCCTCGGAATGGAGTGGTGGCTGGGATGAGGAAGCCCCGAGTAGAGCAATCCTGGGGGAGGCGGAAACTGGGGCTGACTTTCCAGCCGTCCGCGTGCTGCTGAGGCGGCGGCCACCCTGGCGCCTTCCCCCGGCTCGGCCACTCCGCGCGTATCGCCCCAGGATGTGGCGGGCTGGGAGACTCACGCTCCCGACGTGCTCTGCGGCCCGGCCCGCGCACCCGGGGGCGTGGCCTGCGCGCGCGTGCGTCGTAGACGATCGCTGTGGCGGGGCAGGCGAGGCGGTCGCTTCGAGCGCGCTAGTCAGCTCCCTGAAGGGAGTGACGGCGGTTGGGTGCCCGCGGCCACTTTTGCCTTCCCGGGTAAGTGCGGCGGTGGCGGTTGGCGCCGCCGTCTGAGGGGCGGCTTCCTGGGAGACGAGACGGGGAGAGCACCCGGCAGGCCCGCCTGAGGCGTTTGAGGCTCGCGGGCGTCGCTCCTCAGGCGCGGTTGGTCCGAGCCGGGAGGCGTTCCGTTAAGTTCGGTGCCCGCGGGCACCAGCCGGTGGGGGCTTCGTCGGCTTTGCCGGGTAGGAGGGCGGAGTGTGGGGTTGGTACGGACAGGGAGAGCCGGACGGGGCCAACCTGGACCGCGTCAGCCAGTCCCGGGTGACTGGCTCGAAGCAGCCTCCGAGTTGAGAGGGGTCGTCCGGGGCGGCCGGCGGGGCAGCCCCAGCAGCGCCCATTTGCGGAGGGAACGGATCCCGTGCCCGAGCGCCGCCGAGCCCCGCGCGCCCGTGAGACCCACTTTGAATTTTCTCTCCATGTTTGCTGCGGTTGTTGACCCGACCCCCTGTAAGACTCAACATTTTTGTTTGCCCCACGACAGCCAACGTAATGCTGTGGACGTAACAGGGCACGAACGTTTGTAACTGAAAGTTGAAGGGGCTGTGGCGTTGGAGGTGATCGCCCAGCCCTTTGAGTAGGAGTTGTCCTAGAACTCCGCCGACCGCCCAGCCGGTGGAGCCGGCGCTCTGGACGCCACTAGCGCTGGCGTTTCGTGGGCGCAGCACCTCTAGCCGTTCATCTTCACCATCGCCATTGAGGGCACTGAGGCCGGGCCAGTCTTGAAACCCTGCCCTCTCTGAACTTAAAGCCAGAGATGAAAACCCAGACGACAGTGGCCCGGCGCGGTGGCTCACGCCTGTAATCCCAACACGATGGGAGGCCGCGGCGGGTGGATCACCTGAGGTCAGGAGTTCAAAACCAGCCTGGCCAACATGGGGAAACCCTGTCTCTACTAAAAATACAAAAATTAGCCGGGCGTGGTGGCGCCCATCTGTAATCCCAGCTACTCGGGAGGCTGAGGCTGGAGAATCGCTTGAACCAGGAGGCGGAGGTTGCAGTTCGCCGAGATCACGCCATTGCCCTCCAGCCTGGCGGACAGAGCAAGACTCTGTCTCAAAAAAACACACCCAGACGACCTAGAGCAGGTTGCTTGGGGATTGTATTATGGGGCATTCTCCGTGTTTCTGAAGAAAAGCAGCATGTGTGCACCAGCCGTGAAGAACACACTGTGCATCGTGAAGTCTGAAAAATAGTAAAGCAGACCGGGAGGTGGCAAACGTCTTGGGATCCTAACGGTTTGGGAGGCCAAGGCAGGGGGTATCGCTTGAGCCCGGGAGTTCAAGACCAGCCTGCGAAACATAGGGAGACCCTCGTCCCTACAAAAACATTTAAAAATAATTAGCGGGCGTGGTGGTGAGCGTCTGTAGTCCCACCTACTCAAGAGGCTGAGGCGAGAGGATCGCTTGAGCTCAGGAGTTCGAGGATGCAGTGAACTTATGATTGCGCCACTGAATTTTCCGGCCTGTCCACCGGAGCGAGAACCTGTCTCAAAAAAAAAAAAAAAAAAAGTGAAGCATTTTAAGATAGTGATTGTTTACGTACATCTAAATTTACTCCTTCATGAAGTTTCACTAAAATTACATTAAGGGGATTTAAAAACAAAAACCTCCGACAATAGGAGAATAGGAAAGGAAATGCTGGCAATATCTTAGCAAACCCTATATTAACCACAGAATCTTCAAACTGCACGGAAACTGGCAGCACTGGACAGCTGTGGTACTGGGAATGAAGGTGGTGGTGGTGCAGAAGGTGGGTGTAAGGAGCTTAAAGAAATGATTTAGGTGAAATCTGAGAAGCAATTGGATATCCAGATCCCCTTCCCCATTTCACGCTGTTGGGTGACTGCCTTTCTCCTTGTTAGAAGACTGGATGGAGGCTTATTCTCTTGAGAAAGTAAAACAGAGGATCTTTGAACTGAGAAACCCAGGCATAATTATGGGGCTACATGTATGAAGTTAGGGACACTGAAGCTTGAAGTCCTTCATCTCCCTTATCTCACTCAACTTCCAAAACTTTTACAGTTCCATCAGACTAATGCTCTCCAGGCTGAAATAAGAGAATTCTACACGCTCACACTCACAGATGAGGAAAGGTACATAATACATTGTTTATGGTGGTTTCTAGGAAGTGAAAAGAACTTGGTGGCTGGGGGAAAGAGTGTGAGGAAACCTCTGTTTACATTGTCTTTTAAAACGTACCATGTACACATGATACCTATTCAAAAATGAAATGCATTCTTCACCTCAGGAAGGCCTATGAAAAAAATATTCTGTAAATTATGAACAAATCCTTTGACTTCTGTTTACATTTTTTAGTGTACCGTGTGCACATGATACCTGTTCAAAAATGAAATGTATTCACCTCAGGAAGTTCTATGAAAAAATTCTGTAAAAAATTATGAACAAACCCTTTGACACAGCAATTCCTTCCCCAGGAATTTATCTTATAAATATACTTACACTTGTGTGAAAATAAGTACAGTGCTATATGGAAGGATAAGTAAGAAGCAGATAATATTGGTTACCTTTGGAGAGGGGATCTGATGGCAAGTCAAAAGTGGAATGAGTGAGACTTTTTCACTACATATTCTTGGTACATTTTGAACTTTAAACCTTGTTACTGTTACCTATTGAATGAATGAATAAGTAAATGTTAATGGGAAAAATGGGTGAGTAATGGAGATCCTAATGTTGATAATATCCTAAACAATACAAGAGCTCTTGACATAGGAAGGAATGCTACGTAACAACCCCAAAATTTCAGTGGCTTACATTTCATGCTCATGGATCTTCAGATCAGCTGTTGTTTAGGTCTTGGTTAGACTAGTCTGGACTCCAGACTTCAGTTTTGGGTTCAAATCTGTTCCATATGTTTTCATTTTGAGACCCAGGCTGAAAATGCAAAACCACCTAGAGCATGTTTTTCTCATGGCTGAGGGTGAAAGTTCAAGAGGGCTTCTGGAAGTTTGCCACGCCTAAGCTCAGAAGTCACACACTGAAATGTCTACCTACATTCCATTACTTAAAACAAGTTACATAGCCAAGTCCAAAGTAAACAGGGTGAAGACTTACATACTCTGCCTTCTGGCAGCACTGTGAAGTTACATGACAAGGTGTGGATGGGTAGGCTTGGGAACTATAATAATGAAGAAAATGGGTTAATGGAAAGATGCTGAAAAATTAGGATAGTTCATTTAGAATGAAGATTCTTACAAAAATGTGTGTTTATACATTTTTACATTATCATTTTTTGCCAAGATACAGCATCCTACTTTGATATGAATTACAGTTTCCATGTCAAAGTATCACCTTTGTTTTATCTTCTATAACATCTACCAACCCTGCACCTGGCCCTCTAACCAATTCTGAGTGCCCATAGAAAAATGTACATGTAAAGACCCCAGATTTTAGGGAAGTAATTCTAAATGTTTATTTTAGCTACTGAATGTGTTCATTCATAGTTTTTGTGTCATATCCATGTCTGCCAACTCACCTTTCACAACAGAATCTTCTTTTCAGGGAGATGTCCTTTGCTTCTCAGATGTAAATGCCCTTTAAGTTTGTTATTCAACAGTGAAAATGAGTCATACAGAGGTAATATTTTCGTATGTTCTGCATCTTCAGGGTTCCTGGTTTTTTGTTTGTTTGTAATTATATGGCTTCAGAGTAATCTTATTTTCAACTTTCACTGTGGGAGGCAGTATAGCATAAGTGGTTAAGAGTGAGGAATCTAGAACAGACTGCCCTGAGTTTAAATCCTAGCTAGCGGCTATATAACCTTGGGCAAGTTACTTAATCTGCTGTGCCTTATCTATAAAATGGGGATAATGACAGTGCTTGCCTCATAGGATTGTTAGAAAGGTGAAATAAGTTAATACATATAAAGCACTTATAATACCCGACACAGTAAGCACTTAAATACTATTATTAATATCACTACTTTTTATTTGGAGGCTATGACTTGAATTATGAGCCTCACAGAGCAAACATGTATGTAGCTGTTCAGTTGTCTTCATAGGCAAGAAAGTAATTTTTGATCCCTTTATTCTTTTGAATTCCAGGTTAAATTAAAAATACCTTTTGGAAATAAATTACTAGATGCCGTTTGTTTGGTACCTAACAAGAGCTTAACATACGGAATAATTCTTACACATGGAGCATCAGGAGATATGAATCTTCCTCATTTGATGTCACTGGCATCCCATCTTGCATCCCATGGGTTTTTCTGCCTGAGATTTACCTGTAAAGGCCTTAATATTGTACATAGAATTAAGGCATATAAATCAGTTTTGGTAAGAAAATTTCTTTATGTTTACTTATAACAGAATTCTGTTTGAAATCCTTAATAAATGTAATATAAATTTTATTAGTAGTCATCTGGTTTAATTAAAAAAATCTTTGAATGAGTATATTCTTATAAAACTCAGCAGTACTTGAAAGCTTTTTAATGGTCAGATTTCCCTGTCGTCAGTTTCCGTGGAGATGAATGCTTACATCATAAATGTTCCTCCATGATATTGCCAAGGAAACTACATATGATTTTTCTCACTGGAATTATGTAACTTTAGCGCATCATTTTGGCATTCTAGAATATTTTATTTACCATACTATGCATGTACAAATACGATACTGTTTTCTGTATATGTTATTTAGAAACCTTGCTTAAAATCCTGGATAACAGTAAAGTTTCACTAAATCAAGCTTGTCCAACCCATGGGCCACATATGACCCAGGACAGCTTTGAATGTGGCCCAACACAAGTTTGTAAACTTACTTAAAACATTATGAGATTTTTGTTTACAATTTTTTTTTTTTTTAAGCTTATCAAGTATCATGAGAGTTAGTGTATTTTATGTGTGGCCCAACACAGTTCTTCCACTGTGGCCCAGAGAAACCAAAAGATTGAACACCCCTGATCTAAATGCTTTCAAACTTATTAAGTTTTTTAGAACTTTAGATGTTAACATGATCAAATTTGGTATTAGTTGCAAGCCTTTGCTGGCCTTTTTAAAAAATAATTTATTCTCTAAAAATAGTTTAGTGCTTAAATATTTTAGTAAAGGTAGATTAACTTTTTTCTTATGTATTTGCCTGTATTACCTAACATGTGGTTTAATAGTGAAGGCATGACCAGAAGAGGAGGGACTGCTTACCTCTTTTAAGAAGAATCCCGTAAGATTTTCTGGTTATCTTTGCATAGATTTTCATACATTTCAGTAATGATGAGAAACAATATATCTTGCCTTTCCAGTGGAATATTTTATAGATGAAGAACTGATGATTTTTTAATTTTTCTAGAATTACCTAAAGACATCAGGAGAATACAAACTTGCAGGTGTTTTTCTTGGAGGTAAGTGCAATACTTGTGAATACTTGTTAAGTACCTGTTTTAATATAGGAATAAGTAATGGAGAGTTAAAATTAGTTGATCATAGGAAGCTAATTTAGTGATTTTTTGTTGTTGTTTTGGTAAGTCACCTTTTTAATGTTAAAGTACTTTATATACTTAGAGCAAACTTGAACCTCATGTATATGTATTATAAGCTGAGCTTCTCTCCTTTTATTCATATCCCTGAATCGTCCTCTTGCAAATGATTCCTTTACAATGATTGTCCTTGTCCTTTTAAGTGTTCAGAAAAATAATTGCCTTTTTTTTTTTTTTTTTTTTGGATTTTTTTTTTAAATATATTTTTTTGCTTTTCTTTTTTTTTTTTTTTTTTTTTTTTTTTGAGACAGAGCCTCCACCTCCGGGATTCAAGTGATTCTCCTGCCTCAGCCTCCCAAGTAGCTGGGACTATAGGTGTGCACCACCGTGCCCGGCTAATTTTTGTGTTTTTAGTAGAGATAAGAGTTTTGCCATGTTGGTCAAGCTGGTCTCAAACTCTTGACCTCAGGCAGTCTGCCTACCTAGGTTTCCCAAAGTGCTACGATTACAGGTGTGAGCCACTGCACCTGGCCTGGTATTGCAACTTGTTAATTGCTGCCGTTTGGAGTTAATTTGTTGGTAAACAGATATGATGAACAGTAAAAGATTCAATTTGCCACACCATCACTGCTACTTTATATGAAAGTTTATATTTCAAACTGAACTTAATTTTAATTGATTTTAGGTCGTTCAATGGGCTCAAGAGCAGCTGCTTCTGTAATGTGTCACATTGAGCCAGATGATGGTGATGATTTTGTTCGGGGTCTCATTTGTATTTCTTACCCACTGCACCATCCAAAGCAGCAGCATAAACTCAGAGATGAAGACCTCTTTCGTTTAAAAGAGCCTGTACTGTTTGTTTCAGGCTCAGCAGATGAAATGTGTGAAAAGGTGAATTATAACTCAATGTTTGTGTGAATGAAAGAGAATGAAAGAAATATCTTGGGAGCAAGATACTTCTGGCAACAGTCTCTTTTAAAAGTTGCCAATTTGACTAATGCTAGTTTTGTGTCCTGGTTACTCCGTTGCTTTTGAGAACCTAAAAATATAAGTATACTGACAAAATTTGTCTCCCTGGAAATAGAGTTGGTAAATATGACCCTTATTTGGAAAATGAAGGCTTAATATATGAATCGTCTGATTTGGGGATTACTACACTGTAGATTTTTTAAATCATTTCAATATTCAGGCAGATTGTTTGTTATAAAATTGATTCTTGAGAAAGGGTTGGCAATGTCTACACATTACTAAATATTAGCCCAATATTATGAAACAACGTTGTATTCCCCAGAGCATATAATTTGCTTGGGAAAAAGATTTTTTTGGGAAAAAATTTTTTTATTCCAATTTATTTAACATTTTATTAGTAGATGCATGAGTGCTTCATCTGATATTGCTATAGCTGAGATAAGTGGACTGCCACATTTACAGACGTTTTCTCACACATTCTATTGCCTAGAAAGTTGTCTGTGAGAAAGCATTTAGTGAATACTTGGGAATGAATGTCAGTATAGGCGGGGGAGAGAGGACCTTTTATTAAATAATCAACAGAACATTAGTCTAGTATCCTCTTCTTTTTTTCTTTAGAACTTGTTGGAGAAAGTGGCACAGAAAATGCAAGCTCCCCATAAAATCCACTGGATTGAGAAGGCAAATCATTCCATGGCAGTGAAAGGACGGTCGACAAATGATGTTTTCAAAGAAATAAATACACAGATTTTGTTTTGGATCCAAGAAATTACTGAAATGGACAAGAAATGTCATTAGTTAAAAGCCATCTTGAATACACATACAGTTAATTTGATAAAGAAGAGTATGCCTCTCAGCATTGTGAGATATATTTCAGACTAATTTGATGTTCTTTAATGTTCCCTTATTTTTGAAACACGTTTTAAATGTGAAATTAATGTCCTTCACAAAATGTCTTTTGAAAGCACTATTATAGTTGTATAAAGATGATGTAAAAATATTGAAGGTGGTCTACATATAATTTATTTTCATTAGTATAGTTAAGTTTTGAAAAAAATTAAACATTCGAATTTTGTTACAAAGGTGCTTTTGTCTTATTGATATGCAACTGAGAAATTTTGCAGAGCAGTGTTATCTTTAGAAAAGGAAATCAAACCATTATGTTTAGTCAGATTTATAGAATGCACACTTCTCTTCACCTTTTAATAAATCTCAGTGAAGGGATAGGAGTGGACGTATGTTTCAAATATGGGGACCCTGGAGACTTTCTAGAATGAAATAAAGATCTTTAATTCAAGAAGTGTTCACTGAAGGCTTATTACAGTCAAACCTCATTGGGTTTGCAAAGATGAATAAAAACTTGGAGCTTACAACATAGTGTGTGAGGCTGGGCACGGTGGCGTATGCCAGTAATCTGAGCATTTTGGGAGGCTGAGGTGGGCGGATCACTTGAGGCCAGGAATTTGAGACCATCCTGGCCAACATGGCAAAACCCTGTCTCTACTAAAATTACAAAAATTAGCCAAGTGTGGTGGCACACATCTATAATCCCATCTACTCGAAGGATGAGATGAAAGAATTGCTTGAACCCAGGAAGTGGGGGCTGTAGTGAGCCTAGAGCGCAACACTGGACTCCAGCCTGGGCGACAGTGAGACTGTCTCAGAAAAATGACATAGTGTGTAAAATCAATAGACCACTCTGATTAAAGAGAGAAATAATTGTAAATTTGTGGTACTAACGTCTTTGCTATATCTAGGCAGTTGGTGCACTTAATTTTGCCTTGGAAAGTTCAACTATCACCTGATCTCAAGCTTGAATGGTATTGAGTTATATATTAAAAAAACATGGTTTTTGTATTTCCTGTAAAATTCACAAAAGGTGATGAGGCTGATGTTAAATTTAAATAGAAGTTTGTAGTAAGAAATGTTTCTTTATAGTAAATCTTTTGCATATCTTCCCTACTACTCTTAATGTTAGGCCATTAAAATAGCCTCAAGTGGCCTGGGCAGCTTGCAGATTTTTGAGGCCCCTCATTCTTCCTGCCCTGATGGAATCAGTAGATTTAAAATATTATTTTTCTAAATATGACAAAAGAATGAAAACTTAGGTAATAATGTCTAAATCTTTCATATTATAGAATAAGGTGATGTATAACTATAAAATTCCTGTTACTATGTATAATAGATATTTTTGACTAAGTCATTTCCTGAACCTAAATTTTTAAAAATGTTGTATGAGTAAACAATAATTAACATTTGAAATTTTAAAACACTACTAGTATCAAAAGATTATAAACATAAAAAATATGCAAAGCTATCGAAGATAGAATCACTGGTCTATTAACAACTCTAAGTCACTGAGGAACATAAGTATTGTGAACCAGAAGTAAAACTAATGGGACAAGGAAAACACAAAGGACAACTTATTACATAATGTTGGAGTACAACAAAACATTTAAAAGGCTGCTAACCACGCTATACAATTTACAGTATTTGTGTTTGCAAAATTAAACTATAGGCATAATATGATGACCAAAGATACTACATCAAATACAGGCATAATGTAGGTAAATGATCATTTAAAGTTGATTTTCCCCTGAGTTGTCTATAAGAAACTACTGTTCCTTATTAATGTAATAGCTTGACATTTGAGGACTATATAGCTAGCCATATTTGGGGAACATATAACTCCTAGAGAAAGATATGAATGATATATCTACAGCTGAAATGAACAATTAGGAAGAGGTCACATCTGCTCTACTCCATAGATTTACCATGCCTTGCAGGAAAATGTTCAGCCCCTTCAAGTTTGAGATTATAGACAAAGAGCCATTCTGGGCGCCTCTTCTGGTAGGCCCTAATTAATGGCATAGCTGTTGCTGGTAGAGGGTCTTGACTGCACGTTGTCCAGGTTCTTGACATTTTGAATAAAGAATTTGACAAAATGCACAGCAAAGCAAGGAAAGAGTGAAGCAACGAAAGCATAGATTTATTGAAAATGATAGTACACTCCATAGTGGGCCCAAGCAGTGGCTCAAGGGCCCTGGAGAAGGAATCTTCTGGGGTGCAAACACCCCCTAGAGGTTTCCAATTGTCTACTTGGTGTTCACCCCATGTAAATGAAGTGGTGGCCCACAATCAGTCCGATTGGTTGCAGAAAGCAACCAGTTAGAGGCTGAAGTGAAGTTACAAAGTTACACTCCCATGCAAATGTCTGGTTGTAGAAAGCAACCAATTTTGCAACCAACTTTCAATTTTCCATCTGCTCCACAGAAAAGGGGTTTGCAAAGGGAGTAGCCTCTGGTCTTTTTGGTACTTAAGCGTGGAAAGTTGGAATTTTCCTATCAACTTAGTTGTAGGAAGTCAGGGTGAATCGGTCTTAGGTTCCCTGCCTCCAGACCCTATTCTCCTGCCTCATAACCACTCACCTAGACTAATGCTTCCCACCCAGGGGGCACCTTTACCACTTAAGGCAGTGGTCCCCAGCCTTTTTGGCACCAGGGACCCATTTCATGCAAGACAATTTTTCCACCTGACTGGGGTGGGAGTGGTGGGGGTAGGGATGTTTTCTGGATGAAACTGTGCCATCCCAGATCATCAGTCACTAGATTCTCATAAGAAGCGTGCAACCTATAGATTCCCCATGTGCACAGTTTATAATAAGATTCCCTGCTCCTATAAGAATCTAATGTCACAGCTGATGTGACAGGAGGCAGAACTCAGGCAATAATGCTGGCTTGCCTGCTGTTGGTTCATAGTAGGCCACAGACTAGTACTGGTCTGCAGCCCGGGAGTTGGGGACCCCTGTCTTAGGGGATATTTGGCAATGTCTGGAAATATTTTTGGTTGTCATGACTAGGGTTGGGGTGCTACCAGCATTCTGTAGGTAGAAGATTGGGATGTTGCTAAGCATCCTACAATACACAGGACTGCAGCCATAACAAAGAAATAATCCTGTCCAAAATGTCAATAGTGCCCACATTGGGAAGCCTCATCTTAAACCTGATTTAGGATTATCTGTAAGTCCTTTCTCTGTCACCATTAATTCTTCCATCTCCCTCCTTGATCCATTTGCTTTTTTAAATTACTATTATTTTAGTGGTTTTTTGTTTTGTTTTGTTTTATTTTGAGACTGGAGTGCAGTGGCACGATTTCCGCCTCCCGGGTTCAAGCGAGTCTCATGCCTTAGCCTCCTGAGTAGCCGGGATTACAGATGTGTGCCACCACACCTGCTAATTTTTGTATTTTTAGTAGAGACAGGTTTTGCTACGTTGGCCAGGCTGGTCTCGAACTCCTAGTGATCCGACTGCCTTGGCCTCCCAAAGTGCTGGGATTACAGGTACGAGCCACCACGCCTGACCCAGTTTTATTTTTTTGAGACAGAATTTCACTCTATCACTTAGACTGGAATGCAATGGCATTATCATACTTAACTGCAACCTTGAACTCCTGAGCTCAGCGGATCCTCCTGCCTCAGCCTCCCAAGTAGCTGGGACTACAGGTGCCTGCCACTGCACCTGGCTACTTTTTAAAATTATGGTTTTTTTAGAGAGACAGGGTCTCAAATAGTTTTGTAGAGAACAGGGTCCTGCTTTGTTGCTGAGACTGGTCTCGAACTCCAGGGCTCAAGCAATCTAACTCAGCCTCCCAAAGTGCTGGGATTACAGGCATAAGCCACTGCACCCAGCCATTTGCTTTCTTTTAGTTGCTAAATCCTGGGTTTGAGTCTCTTACTCTTCTTTTTACACTACCATCACTCTAATTCAGACCCTTATCAATTCTCTTCTATCACTGCAGTAGCCTAATTGATTTTCCAATTTTATTGTCTCCTTGATTTGATACACCAGTTGATACTTCCAGCTCAAAAACTGTTAGGTCTCCAAAGGTGGCTCCACAGTAGGGATCTGTCAACATTTTAGCCTTCTTTTCCCAGACTTCACACCTGTAACCATGCTATAGCTAACATGGACTATATAAATGTTTATAAAATGGAAGAAGTATTTTTTACTCTTCTTCCTACTTTCTTTGTTCATCTTTGCCTGCTACCAAATCCAAATGAGTAGGGGAAAAACATTTTTTTTCTCTCTTTGCAGCTTTGCTTGAAATTACCCCAAACCAAGTATCTCTCCTCAAACTCCTGTAATATCTTACTCCTCTCTGTGTTAACCAAACTCTACCTTCTCATTAAGTTATTAATATCTCCATCTCACTTACATTACAGATTCCTTCAAGTTTGGGATTTCTTTTTCCGCATCATTGTTAAATGTTAACAAAGATGTTAACAAAACTTTAACAAAGTGTGTTAAAGCACGTTTTGGTTCCTTGTTCAGTGCTTTACACAATTATTATTCAATACATGTATTAAACTAAGATATTTACAGAAAGAAAGAATAACAATTTTGAACAATCTCTGGCTTTATGTTGCTATTTTATATATCTAATATTGGGACTTTTTCCTGTTAAGAACAAAAACCAAGTTCATAATATCAAAATAGTTCAAAGATGGTAACACTGGTAAATATAATAGGAAGTTTAAAAAAAAAAACTAATATCATTTTCCTTGTGTTTTCTTGTAGTGTCTGTTTTTTATTACTGTTAGTAATAGGCTTTCTCTGATACTCCTTTTCTTTTTACTCTGTAAGCAAGTAAATCTTGCTTAGCATTTACTTTTGGTACTGTTCACTTGACATTGGTCTAGGAAGTTTCTAGTCCAAGGGACAGAAGCATTTATGCTGAAAAATAGATAATTATACTTTCGTTAGTAGCAAGTACCTAAGTAACAAACATGACAAAGGCCTGGAGAGGGATAATACTTATGCCTATGTAAACCTAGCCATCAGCAGGAGTGGTACGCAGCAGTTCCTCTTCAGTTCTTTAAGAGCTCTTCAGTGAAATACTAATTAGGGATTCAGTGCCATAAAGCTTGGAAAGATCTAAGGGACTAGAGAGAAGAAAATGTTGATTTAGAGAATTTCTGCAAGTAGGTGAGAGTAACTGAGTATTTTTCCAGCTGCCTAATTTTTTTTTTTTTCCAAGATGGAGTTTCACTCTTGTTGCCCAGGCTGGAGTGCAATGGCGAGATCTCGGTTCGCTGCAACCTCCGCCTCCCCGGGTTTGAGCAATTCTCCTGCCTCAGCCTCCCGAGTAGCTGGGATTACAGGCACCTGCCACCACACCCAGATAATTTTGGTATTTTTAGGTAGAGACGGGGTTTCACCATGTTGGCCAGGCTGGTCTTGAACTCCTGACCTCAGGTGATCCGCCTGCCTTGGCCTCCCAAAGTGCTGGGATTATAGGCATGAGCCCCTGCGCCCAGCCCAGATGCTTAAATTTTGTGAGGAAACCCAGGAGACTAAAATCACCTCAATTGTCTTTGTGATGAGGGGAGTACAGGGAAGGTGTACTTTACCATAGTTCTAGAAAAATCAAGAAGAATTGCTGAAGTTTCTTTCAGAGCCAATGAAGACCTAACAAGCATTCTAAAGGGTGATTCTTTGCAAAGACAAAATTCAAAATAAGAGTTATACTTAAATAAAGATTATAAATAACTGTATGTTGTGGTCCAGGAGACTGGAAGACTGTAAGTTCCAACATTTAGAATGTCACTGATCTCATAATCTCCAACGTTCAGGGACAGAGCTGATAATTCTTTTTTTTTTTTTTTTTTTTTGAGACAGTGTCTTACTCTGTTGTCCAGGATGGGAGTGCAGTAGCAGGATCATGGCTCACTGCAGCCTTCACCTCCCAGGCTCAGGCAATCCTCCCACCTCAGACTCCCAAGTAGCTGGGACTAACTGCAGGCTCACACCACAATGCCTGGCTAATTTTTAAATTTTTGGTAAAGACAGAGGTCCACCTATGTTGCCCAGTACTGGTCTCAAACTCCTGCTCAAGCCACCCACCCACCTCAGCCTTCCAAAGTGTTGGGATTACAGGCATGAGCCACTTCACCCAGCTGAAGTTGTAAATCTTTGTTGCACTTATTTAAACTGATGTGACAGAAGAGGCCTGAACAGTTTACTTCAGTGTAACGAATAATACTTCAGTGTAATGAGTAATACTTCTTTGCTTAACCTACCTTGGATAAGTGAAGTACTAAAAACAAAACAAAAGTGAAGCATTAAAGAATTACATCTGCAAAGGAAGTATTAATTAATTACACCTTCAAAGGAAGAGTACTCTAAATCCAAGGTATTGTTAACATTTTTCATTACTAGTCCAGACTATCCTACTTGTGACTAAAATTGTACTTCTCAATAAGCTTCCAGGCCTACCCACTAGACTTTGAAGGAGAATGGGCAGTACTGTACTTACATCTGCCTCTGCCCCACCCTTAATTCTGACATCAGAAAGGACATCACAAGTAGCTCCTTGAAATCACCGTAGACAGGGTGAAAAGGAAATTCAACAGGAGGTTATTCCAAAGACACTTTAATTTTCAGCATATCAATAGATTGTTGAAGGGGAATGGTGCCAATGGACCCTGCTAACAAAAAGAAATATAAAATATGTTCTATTTTAAGAAAAAAATCAGGCCCATAAAAGACAAGTCATCATACATTCTACATAGTTGCAATGGGATATATTTAGATCAAAAAAATTATTTGACATTTCTCCGAAATTCAAATTAAATTGGGCATCTAATGTTTTTATTTGCTAAACCTGTCAACCCTATCTATATTCATTCTAAGAAAGGACTATATTTTTCTGACCACAAAGAAGCATAAAATACACTATTCCTGATGTTAATAGAAATGGTTATGTCAAATGCTTTCTACCAATCCAGATTTAATCTATGTTTATAATAGGGCAGTGACAATCCATGATAGAATTAGGTTGCTTTCTATGAAGTTAAGAGAAGGTAACTTTTTGAATTTTAGTAAAAAACTACTTATACAGTGTACATATCTTACCTATGAACTTTCATTATTGCTAAAGTTGATATGAGCTCAGTTAAATACCCACTATGACACGTACCTCACTTAACTTAGGCCCAGAGCAGTCACTGCCACACTTGATAAGACACCAAGAAGCACTGGCCAAATGTTGCACATGGTTATGAGTTGGGCATACCAACTTTTTATAATTCAGGGCCTCTGAAATCAAGGACTTCTGAATGAGACACAAGTCTCAATATTACATTAAAATGTCAAAGCAATATTATTCCTTTAAAAAAGGGGTAGGGGGTGAACTGGAAGATAACACATTTGTGACATTATGGGAATTTCTAGAGTCCTGGATTATTCAAAATGATTGGATGGCAATTTTCTTTATAATTTTACTAGGAATTATTTTTGAAATAATACTCATGAAAGTTTGTGCATCCTTTTGGAAGAAGTCCGCACTTCCTGAAAAGGGTAGTTCAGATGTCTGGGAGGTAAGAACAAATGGTTGATTTCCCCTTTCCCTAGTTTTCAAAATCAGACATAAGAATAATTTGTAAAATTTTTGAACTTTGATGCTCAGATTACTCCTCTAACATTTTTTTCCATTAAAATAGAGGGAAGACAGTTGCTCGAAAAGCAGGAAATTTGGTAAGTATTATACAATTTCACATTTTAATATAAAACTTGTTCATCCTGAGCTTTTCTCATTGATACTGTGACTTTTTTATTCCTACTCAGCTCCAGAGAATTGGTCAGTTATTAATCCATCTTCAGGAGAAAGGTATGTGACATATCACATGTATATTTTGAAGCTAAATGAAATATGAAATAGGTTGGTTGTGTTCTATTCAAAATGCCTTTACTTCTGAATTTCAAAGAAGGGTTTTCCTAGCTGTTCAACGTCACGATTCAATCTAACATTTACTTTAAGTGGTTGCTATGCTCCAAGCTGTGTTAAGGACTTTTCATATATTATTGAAATTATCCTTCAAGGTAGGTAGTATTATTATTGTTTTTACAGATGAGGAAAATAGAACTTGAAGAGGGTAAGTGACTTTCTTTCCTACTTTAACACTCTCTCCAATATACCAGTTCTTACAATTCAACTGAAAAGATATTTATTTAGCACTTACTGTGGACCAAGCAAACACTGAGCTAGGTGCTGCATGAGTGACATGAAAGGAGTTTGTAAAATCAGAATTTATCAGAATTGTAAAGTTATCTCCATACTAGGGATTAAATACTGACATAATCATGAATCTTGTTGCTATCAATATTTTAATTGTTTTCATTGAAATCCGTTCAACAATTATCAGATATCTACTATAAAGTGGACACAAACACTAGGATTCAAGCCATAAGATAGTCTTTGTTCTCAAGAAGCTTATATTATTGTGGAGAAGATGTATACATACAGGAAAATTGCCTTGTGGTATGGTGACACAGTGACAGAAATATTAAAACATTTAGGAGATGCCTAAGCCAGCCTAGGGCGTTGGTAATGGCTTCACAAAGAATGTTATGCTGGAGCTGAATTTTAAAGGATTAATGAACATTAGCCCAAAAAAGACACAGGTTTAGGAGGGTAAGAAAGACATTCCAGGACATGAACAGAAACAGCAGCAACGTGCAAGAAATTACTGTTATTTCAGAGTTGCTTGGAATGTTGAGGTTGAGTCAGGAAGTAGTGGAAGACGAATGTGAAGAGGTAGGTAGGAGTCAGGTCATAAAGGGCTTTCTATACCATGTTAAGAAGCCTGGATTCAATTCTGTAGACAATAACCACTAGTGGTGGTTACACATAAGAGTGGTACAGTTTTGTGTTTCAGCTAGATCACTAGTCACTGTGTGATTAGTCGCTGTGTGAATCAGGGGATTACTTGATGTTCATCTAATTTCTTTTATTTGTCAGGTATAAAAGGACTTTATTCTTTTAATCTGGTAGTTATATTGTCGTATTGGGTACTAGCAACTCTAGTTCTCAGGTGAATGTCTTGGGAAGCTGTAACAATATCTGGAGGTGTGAGTAGGTAGAACCCTTGTCAGGGCCGGTTGGGAACAGGAATGCCAGCACAAGCTACAGCATGTCAGTGGTGCAATCAGAATAAGTCCAAATGGACAGACCAAGAGTCAGCTTTTGAGATATTACAGTGGTTAGGTGTGCTTGGTGACCCAAGCTTCACATGTAATTCAACACCAGAGGATTAACAGGCAAGAGGAATTCACAAGAAGACATGGAGAAGAAAAAGGATTTTCAGCTTCAGAATCAAGAACACTTTAAAGATTTTCCATCCCTGTGTCCTATTATTCCCTTCCTGCCTGGACAGAAGTTAATCCTTGGGTGGCATCTTTCTAGGGAGAGTTAAGGGAAATTCATTGAGAAGAAGAGGTTGGGGGTGGTGTTGAAGGAAAAGGATTAGAGAAAAGATATGGCTCCATGGCAGCAGCATATTATGGTGAAAAAACACAAATTTTGAATTTAAAAAGGTCTAGCTTTATATCATAGTTCTGCCTCTTTGTTTTTTTGTTTTGTTTTGTTTTGTTTTGTTTTTTGGCAGGGTTTTGCTCTTGTTGCCCAGGCTGGAGAACAATGGCACGACCTCGGCTCACTGCAACCTCCGCCTCCTGGGTTCAAGTGATTCTCCTGCCTCAGCCACCATAGTAGCTGGGATTATAGGCACCCACCATCACACCTGGCTAATGTTTTGTATTTCTAGTAGAGATGGGGTTTCATCACGTTGGCCAGGCTGGTCTTGAACCCCTGACCTCAGGTGATCCACCCGCCTTGGCCTCTCAAAGCACTGGGAACACAGGCATGAGCCACCAAACCCAGCCCTGTAGTTCTACCTCTTAATGATGGCATGGCCTTGGGCTAAGGACTTAAACTCACTATACCTCCATTTTTTTTTTTTTTTTTTTTTTTTTTTATTTTCGAACTAAGGATTAGAAGAATTACCTCTTAGGAATATCATGAAGATTAGTTGAAATAACATGTGTAACAAGGTGACTCACACCTGTAATCCCAGCACCTTGGGAGGCCGAGGTGGGTGGATAACTTGAGGTCAGGAGTTTGAAACCAGCCTGGCCAACATGGTGAAACCTCATCTCTACTAAAAATACAAAAATTAGCCAGGTGTGGTGGCAAGCACCTGTAATCCCAATGACTCAGGAGGCTGAGAATGGCTTGAACCTGGGAGGCGGAGGTTGCAGTGAGACGAGATCATGCCACTGCACTCCAACCTGGGAGACAAAGCAAGACTCTAGCTAGAAAGGAAAAAAAAAATATGTATATATATATGTGTGTGTGTGTATATATATATGTGTATATATATGTGTGTATATATATGTGTGTATATATATACACACATACACATATATTTTATATATATGAATTCTTTTTTTGGAAAAGAACTATGTTTGGAACAGCATATTTTATTTTTAACCATTGACACCTTCAAATAATTTTATTTCATTTAAATTTTTAAAATTTCTTAAAAAACAAAACAAAACAGGATACATATGCAGAACGTGTAGGTTTGCTACATAGGGATATGTGTGCCATGGTGGTTTGCTGCACCTATTGACCTGTCCTGTAAGTTTCCTCCCTTCATCCCCCATCCCTGAAAAGGCCCTGGTGTGTGTTGTTCCCCTCCCTGTGTCCATGTGTTCCCATTGTTCACCTCCCACTTAGGAGTGAGAACATGTGGTGTTTGGTTGACTGTTCCTGTGTTAGTTTGCTGAGAATTATGGCTTCTAGCTTCATCCATGTCCCTGCAAAGGCCATGATCTCATTCTTTTTATGGTTGCATAGTATTCCACGGTGTATATGTACCACATTTTCTTTATCCAGTCTATCATTGATGAGCATTTGGGTTGGTTCCATGTGTTTGCTATTGGAAATAGTGGGACGGCATCTTAATAAATTATTTTGAAATAGAAAGGTATATTGGCCGAAACCTAAGCATCAGAATGGTTAAAATGTACTGCATTAGAGATGGAGTGGATTTTATCTTGCTTATGAAATAGGACAAAGGAGAAAGGAGTAGCGGCGGGGCATAGGGGAGCAGAACAGAGGGAGTTGCAAGTGTAGTGGTATGAGGCTTAGGACTGAGTGACATAAAGGATAAGACCACCACTAAGTATCTGAAATCTGGGGACTCGAGCTGACCAGGTATAGTCTCAGTAAGCAAAGCAAACGGTTGACCTTATATCAGATTTTGGGGAATGGTTTGTTTTAGGGTTGGCCTTATCCATAGACGCATGCTTGAGTGAGAGTCTGCCACTAGTCACCTGACTCTCAAAGCTTAAACTTGTCACTGACTGGTTGGTTTCAGAAGTGCATTTCCTGAAGGGAGTTATCGTTGATAGATAAAACAGTTTAAAAGCAGACTTGGTGTTTATTTGTTACTATGACTATAGGGTTGCCATTGATTGATTGACAACTGATTCTGGTACTGGTTACCATGGCTCTAGAACTGTCACTCTTTTCCTAGGAGAATGAGGAGTTATTTTTAAAATCTCAAAGGCCAATTAAGATTCCTTGGTGGGGAGAGGCCAAAGGACATCTCACAAATGGGGAGACGTACCTAATGTTTAAATGGGAGCCCTTTGCATGACTGTAGTCAACTCTCTCCTGCTTCTGCCTCCAAGTCTTCACTAAAATCATTCACATCTATGAGTGGTTTGTGTATGAGGGATTTTTTCCTCCTCACTGAAATTGAGGAAAGAGTTGGGTCAGTTTGTTGTTAGCAATCAGAAGCCTGGAGGTGGAGATGGTCATTCAGCAAATACTTACTGATTGCCTACTCTGTGTCAGGCATTGCTGTAGGCCCTTGAGACTCATCAGCAAACAAAACAGTGTGTGGGGGTGAGAGAGGGTCAGACAATAAACGACAACATAATATGTCAGAAGGTGACATGAGAAATTAGAGAGAACTGTGCTGACCAGGCATAGTCTCAGTGAGCAAAGCGAACTGCTGATCTTACATTGGATTATTGAATTTTGGGAAATGGTTTGCTGCAAGGTTTTTTTGTTTTTGTTTTTGTTTTTGTTTTTGTTTTTGTTTTTGGAGATGGAGTCTCCTTCTGTTGCCCAGGCTGGAGTGCAATGGCACAATCTCGGCTCACTGCAACCTCCACCTACTGGGTTCAAGCAACTCTCCTGCCACAGGCTCCCAAGTAGCTGGGTCTACAGGTGCACACCACCACACCCGGCTACTTTTTGTATTTTTAGTAGAGTTGGGGTTTCACCATGTTGGCTAGGCTGGTTTCAAACTCTGATGTCAAGTGATCCACCTGCTTCAGCCTCCCAAAGACCTGAGATTGATTAGCAGGTGTGAGCCACCCCACCCAGCCTGCTTCAGCATTTTCTTATGTTAGGATTAGATCATGCCTTCCTAAACTAATCACTCAGAAATGGGATTACTATATTAGACTGAGCCTAATAATCTGAGGTAGAACAGGTGTTGGAGAGTAGATATCATGATTGTCCAACCCAAAATTTTGTCTTAGTTGAAGAACGGACTTTACTACCAAATATTATATACTAAAAGTAATGAGCAGATAACAAAGATGTGTATACAGTCTGTATTAGATTGCTGGGGCTGCCATAACAACATATCACAAATTAGGTGGCATTAAAGAACAGAAATTTATTTTCTCAAGGTTCTGGAGGCTGAAAGGTTTGGTTTTTCCTGAGGTGTTTCTCCTTGACTTGCAGATGGCCAGTTTCTTGCTGTGTCCTCATATGCTCTTTTCTTTTCTTTTTTTTTTTTTTTTTTTCTTTTTTTTTTCTTTAAGTTCTGGGATACATGTGCAGCACGTGCAGGTTTGTTACATAGGTAGACATGCGCCATGGTGGTTTGCTGCACCTATCAACCTGTCATCTAGGTTTTATGCCCAGCATGCTTTAGATACTTGTCCTAATGTTTTCCGTCCGCTTGCCCCTCACCCCCGACAAGCCCCTTTGCATGATGTTCCCCTCCTTGTGTCCATGTGTTCTCATTGTTCAACTCCCACTTAGGAGTGAGAACATGCAGTGTCTGGTTTTCTGTTCCTGTGTTAGTTTGCTGAGAATGATGGTTTCCAGCTTCATCTATGTCCCTGCAAAGGGCATGAACTCATCCTTTTAAATGGCTGCATAGTATTCCATGGTGTATATGTGCCACATTTTCTTTATCCAGTCTATCATTGATGGGCATTTGCGTTGGTTCCATGTCTTTGCTATTGTTAATAGTGCTGCAGTAAACACACATGTGCATCACATGCTCGTTTCTCTGTATGTGCATGTCCATGGTGTCTCTGTGTCCAAATTTCCTCTTCTTACAAGGGCACCAGTCATATTGGATTAGGGCCCTACTCTAAATAAAGACATCAGTTAACTTAATCACATTTTGATGGCCTTATCTCCAAATATGGATTAAGGCCCACCTATATGACCTCATTTAACTTTAATAACCTATTTAAAGGCCACGTCTACAAATATGGTCACATTCTGAGATACTGGGGTTAGGACTTCAACACATGAATTTTAGAGAAACACAATTCAGCCTACAAAATAGCCTATATATTAGAGGTTAATAAGTGCTCTAAAAATTCAGAGAACTTGAAAACTAACATATTTTAAATATTTACCTAATATTTTTGTGTTATCTATGAAAAAATAAAATCATTAGTATAGCCTAAAATACCCCAAATTCTAATTAACCAAATCCAGATTAATGAGATTTCATTGTGTCAACTGAAGAATGATGGTTTTGAAAAGAATGATGGTGTTCATAAAGGATTGCAGCCTGTAGGATAGCCATTCTGACAGACTGGGAAGCATAGCCTCCTGTCAGAAGCCAGACACAGGCCATTGGAGGGCAGGAAGAATAAGACAGGAAATCATGCTGAATGAGGTGGATAATACTTATAGTCAATAAGCTGTAGGAGGAATCATGAATATTTATGAAAGGAGAAATGCGTGCATGAGCAATTGAGCTTCATTCCTCTCCATGGAACTCATGTTCAAAAAATGGCAGCTTTAGTGTGATATGAGCATGGAGTTTTTGGCCCTCTGACATCAAAAAGTGAAGCCAGGGACATGAAAACCCCCACTGCACATCCTCCCTAGACTAGGCAGAACCACTCTGTGGTTGGTGGTCTCTTATCAGGAAGGAATGCTGGCTGGTAATTTCATTGAAAGCAGAAGTGAGGGCAGCATCAGGTCATTGGTTGATATCAAGGTTGGTGCAAGCCTTTCCAAAGGGCTGTTCTGTTTACCTTTAGGAAAGAAAGCCTAATGGTAGCGAGGGAGGGAGGTGGTATAATAAGACCTGTCTGACCTCCCATCCCATCATGGTCAGGAATTCATTTTTCAAGATTTCTTTGGGGTCCCCTTGGCCAAGAGGAGCTCCATTCAGTCATTTGTGAGACTTAGCATTTCATTTTTAATTCTCAGTACTATAAGTAATCATTTAGCACAAATAATTTTTTGCGGTTGAGTAGATCATGATGGATTTCATATACTGCCTTCACTACTTTGATTGAGGGGTATTTAAAAGTAAAGTCACACTTACAGTAAAGTAAGAGGTAATCTGTGTTCCCCAAACAAATAGCTACTAGAATGATCTCACCTAGTTTATATGAATTTCAGTTTTTTATTTTAGGCTTGCTTATCCATCAAACAGTGACTATCAATATTTATCATGTATCAGAATCAGCTGGAGAGCTTATTAAAACTCAGATTTTTTGACCCTACTTTCAAAACTTCAGATATCATACTGCTGGGATGGGACCAAAGAATGTGCATTTCAAATAAGTTTCCAGGTGTATTATCAGGGTTCTCCAGAGAAACAGAACCAGTAGGTTATGTGTGTGTGTGTGTGTGTGTGTGTGTGTGTGTGTGTTTGTGTGTGTGTGTGTGTGTGTGTGTAGAGAGAGAGAGAGAGAGAGAGAGTAAGATATATATTTTAAAGAATTGGCTCAAGCAGTTATGGTGACTAGCAAGCCTAAAATGTGCAGTTTAAGTCAAAAGGCTGTCTGCTGACAGAATTTCCTCTTGCTGGAGTATGTCAGGGGGTTGAGGTATCGGTCTTTTGTTCTATCCAGGCCTTTAACTGATTGGATCATGCCCATCCACATTAGGAAGAACAATCTGCTTTTCTCACAGTTCACTGACATAAATGTTAATCTCATCCAAAACACCCTCAGAGAAACATCCAGAATAATGTTTGACCATATCTCTGGGCATCACTGCCCAGCCAAATTGACAAATAAAATTAACCATCACACCAGATGATGCTGATGCTGTTGGTCTGAGCACTTCTTAGACTGAGAGTAATCATTTGAGATACATGGGTGTTAGCAAGTTCACATCATCCATGATCGTTACTCCAGCTTAAAATTGTACTGAGATGTGCTTCCCTAAAATGTAGGCTTTTCTGTTGATCCCAAAGAACTGTTAACATAATCTGGATTTATCTACAGACAGCTAGTTTATGCTATCGGTATTCTTCTGTTGTACCTATTACATTTCCATAAGAATGTTTTCTTTATTTTTTTTAAGAATGTTTTTTTTTCTGTGAAAACTTTCATATAGAGAACAGAAAAGATGTTCCTTGTAAAAGAATATAATCTTAATCCAGCAACTTTGACCCACTCCTGTCAAAAATAGACTTTTAGAGATGCTGAGGTATATTCTCTGAGATATATGATTGATTTACTTCACTTTTTCAGTCAATTAGTTTATTAAGTGAGAAGAACTAGGTAATGAATTGTTTTGTATTATGGATAATGGTTTTCCAATTTATCTCTATACTGATCTGTTTTCTTACACTATTCTGCATTTTTCTTGAATCTGGAAGGTAATTCTTATATGAAATATATCCTAGTATTCATTTGTACACTGTTTTCTTATATTTCAGAGTTGGCACCTTTTCAGAAAAAAGAATTACTTCATCACTTACATCTGAAGAAAAGGAATGTAACTTTGAAGAAAGAATTTTATTCTCACATGAAATAATATGGTCAGGTACTAGTGAAAGTGAAGATCAAGTAAGTCACTCTAGTGGAAGTCATGTGCCATCTTCAAATGGAATCAGCTCATCTTTGCCATTGTTTTATTCAGAAGTAGAGGAAATGTGTCTAAGCCATACAGAGCATCCAGACAGTGAATATGAAACAATACAATTTTCCTCCAAGAAATTATTTTCAATGATGAAAACCAACAAAAACAAAAATTCAGAATTTTCTTCTGATCTTAGCTTTTCAGCCTCTAGATTAGCTGTAGAAATTGAAGATCTAGATGTGGCACCTTGCCCTCTTGCCCACTTATTTCTTTCTAGAGATCAAGTTAGACTTCTGGAAGAAAATGTGAGAAATCAAATTCCTTCAAAACCTAAAACTAAGTTAGGGATTAGAACTACTTATCAATGCTCAAGATCTCAAGAACCCTTGAATCAGAATCAACCTTCTGTTGGAATGGTTATTTCTGTCCAAGCACAGGATTCTTTTCCAGGACAAAATGCTTTTCAGAATCAATGTCTTTATGAAGCCCAGTTTACTAGTCAAACCCAATATATAAATCATAACCAAGAATCAATTAACAGCCAGCCTGATAGCAAAGCCAGCAACTTTGCCCAACCTGAAGATGTGATGAGGAAGCCATTTTCTAGCAGCACACAAGACTCCTTCCAGTCCCAAGATTTGGATAGGAACCAACATTTTGTTAAAATTCCATCAATTGTTGAGGCACAATATTCAGTAAAGGGCCTGGAGTCTGATGAGCACTTAGGTGAGGATCAGCATTCTGTTTGGTTTATAAATTCAGACAAGATTAAATATTCAATTAAGGGGCAAGACACTATTTTTAAGAATGCTGAATTTCTAGTTTTAACTCTGAATCCAAATTTAGTTACCGAAGATATGCCACAACTAAGGAGTGTAAAACCACAAGGCCAGCAACAAATTGTTTCACCAGAATTAAACCAGGACTCTGTACATAGCTCAGTGCCTCTTTTGTCTACCATTAAAGGGCAGAAAAATAGAAGAAAAACACCAGACAGTAAAAGCAAACTCAGTCTTAACATTCCATCTCTAAAAGCCAAAAAAACACCAACTTCACAAGTATTTCAAATCACAGTATGTCACACGTTAAAAAATAGGAATGAGTTAGGATGCAAGAATAACACTGAGAAGAAAGAATTACATGAAAGGAAAGATATATCAGATATAGCTTTGCATCTTATTTCTATTTCCAAGCTTATTCTGCCTTATGTTAAAAATTATTCCAGAAAACAACTACTGAAAGTCATGCTGAGTTTAATAAAATGTGGACATTTTCTGCAGAAGCAAAATAAGTCACCAGATACAGAGAAAATCAGTTATGCATGTCCTCTTGAGGAGACAGGAATCTCAGGTATTACTAAAAAGGAAAAGGAGTATGACAAAGGAAACAAAGGACTAAAAAATATTTCACCAAAAATGTTACCTCAGCTAGAACAATCCTTCATGGTCAACACTGTTCAACTAAAAGCACCTTGTTTACTAGTAGAAACAAATGGGAAGAGTAAAGAATCTCTTAAAGACTCAATTACTCAAGCAAAGGGAATTGGTATTACAGAATTTCATGCTCCAAATAGTAAAAAACCATTTGATCTGCATATTCCAAAGCACAAGACATCTTTAGAAAAAGCCATATCAAAACCTATGCAGAAACTTGTTTTCTCTCCTGAAATGGAATCAAACAATAGAATGAAAATACAGGAGGACATACAAAGTTCAGAGAATTCCTGTCTTCAACTTTCAAATGGAGAGGAGTTACCAACCAGTACACCAAAAATGCGAAGGTGCTTTCCAAGGGAAAATACACAGAAACAAAACGATTTTTTGGAACTTGTTCTGGAGTTGTCAAATGTCCATTTGGTCATTTCCCTAGGAAGCAAAATGCATAAAAGCAGTGAAGAATTAGAAGCCATAAAAATTCAAGTGAGTGCAGAAAGTGTAAATCTGAAGGAGAGTACACCATTGATACTTAACGTTACAGAAGACAGTGACCTACGTGAAAGTGAGGAACTAGAATGCAACACTGGAAGTAACATAACAAATATGCACCAAGATAAAGAAACGTCTGATGCATTTCACAGTGCCGCTTACACTAACATTTCTCGACTACCTGATACAGAAACACATAGCAGATTAAAAGCCAAGGCAGATACATTAAGAATAATAAGGCTCAGTCATTCAGCATCAAAGCAAGAGAAATTACCAGATAAGAAGGAAACACAGAATGCAGAATACATTGAAAAGAACTCTACATTTAAAAAGCCACAAAAATGTGATAGAAAGGAACAGGAGAAAGAAGCAAATTCAGAGCTGACACAAGGCTTCAGGTTCAGCGTAAATCTAAAGCAAAAGCCCGAATACATAAAATTTGAAATGGAACGGATCAGTTCAGGAAGTAGTAAAGTCCCAAATAAAGAGCAAGAGGTCCAACTACAAAATCTTTCTACGCAAACTATTTTGGAGACTAGTCCATGCCCGATGATGGAACTATTTCAAGTTGAGAAGGTGAAGCAAAGCACAGATAGACCTGCAGACAGAGAGGGTGCCAGAGATCCAAAGAATCCACTTACAATACCAGAGAACTTGCCAGTTGGTGAACTTTTAATTGATACAACAGAGCATAGTGTCCCATTTGGTGGCAACCTCCAAAAGACAATAGATAGTCATATTGTAGAAGAAAAGGAAGATGTAAAAAGATATTTACCTGCAGTTGCCCTGGGGTCTTTCAATAACCACTTGCTTACTTTACCATATTTTAAAAGGCAGGAAATCAAAAAAAAATTATCAGAAACAAAAAGTGTACTCAGTGTCAAATATGTAATTATGAAAGTAAAGAAACCAGCAATCTCAATGATGCCTTATAGTAATATATGTGGTACTCCAAACCACATAAAAAAAATAGGAGACAATTTTGAAATTATAATTAAACAGATACTGCAAGATAAAATTGTGGCAGGTATGCTTCTGAATGTTATTTACCCTCACATGTCTATTTTGCCTAATACTAGAATGCATAGCAGATTAAATGCAGAGAATCACAGTCATATCAAGCTAGTCCAAGAGGAATCCCAGATTGAAAGGGAAGAAAAGTATCCATATTTCATTAATAAGGGAAATGAATCCCAAAACATACTAGATGCTAAATTGCAAGATGAAGTAAAAGGTGTTAAAGAAACTCTATCAAAAGCAGTCCTGCATGATAGCTGGAACCTTGGACTTGATGCACATCTAGCTAAGGAGACTAAAACAGAGAAAGAAATGCATCAACCAATCCCATTCACAGAAACTATTATGAAGTCTGTTGTGTCTCCCATAATGGAACCATCTCATGTTGAGAATGTGAAGAGTACTCAAACAACACAAACAGACTGCAAATGCACTGCAGATTCAGAGATGCCTTCTCCAATATCAGGAAAATCACTGATTGGAGACCCTTTAAACCAAACAAGAGAAAATGATGTTTCAAGTAATGGAAGTGATACAAGAGAAATGGGTTACTGTTTTGCAGAAAAAAAGATAGAAATACCAAAAGATTTACCAGCAACTTCGCTAGAGTCTTTCAATTACTGCATGCCTGTTTTATCTTGTTCTAAAGTGATGAAAAAGAGAGTAACATTTTCTCTCCCAACAAGCACAGTGAAGGCCAAATGTGTAAATACAAAGGCTGTGAAGCCATCAATCTCAGAGACAGGGAGTGTCACAAGCCACAGAAAGAAATCTGAATTAGACTTTAAGACTAAGTTTAAAAAGTTAAATCAAACTAAAGGATTTGTACCTGAATGTGTAAATACCCTTTGCTCTCCAATGCATAGCAGATTGCAGACAGAGTTCTGTCTCCCTGTGTCTCAATTAAAGCAAGGAGAAACAGCAGATAAGACATACATTGATGTCTTTGCTAAGAGTAGTATATCCCATGACAGAGAGGAAAAATTGCAAGATAGAGAGGAAGAGGAACAGAAAGTTTTATTAGAAGCAGCGCCACAGCTGAGCCAGCAGCTGGGGTCTGATGCGGCTCAAATGAAGGAAATCCATCTTGAATCAGACCCAGTGCTGAACTGTTTAACAATGGAGCTACCTGTTAATGGACAACGTATGCAGCACCAAACAGGTTTTAAACAAACTACTTCAGAGATTAGTCTCCAAATGGGTCCTTCAGAAGCTGAAGAACTACCAAAAGTCAACAAAACAGAAAATGACATAAAAGTCCCTGTGGGTCCTAAGATTCCACCTCCCAAAGCTTTATGGACTCTGGAGAATAGCCATGGCTTCATACTCAATGCATATCAGAAGGATAATGAGCTTGTCAAATCAGATGAGGAACTGAAGCAACCAGGAAATACAAATATTCAGGTACAACCACAAAAACCTTTTACACAAACTATTTTGGAGTCTACTTCATGCCCTACACTGGATCAATTTCAATTTGAAAAGGTAGAGAGTTATGTTAGGTTTTCACCTCCAAAGTCTGGGGAAGCAAAGGTTGATGAAATCATATTTTATGCAAAAGAAGGTGGTATCTCATCTGATTCTAGCCATCAAAAGGAACAAGCTGCTGGTAGTGAAAAGAAAGAGACAGTGATTTTTGATTCCTGCTTGCCTGCTTTATCTACACCTAAAAGGAAGAGAAACTTAAAACAATTTTCAGACATGAAAACTTTAGTGAATCCCAAATGTGGAATTATAAAAGCAAAGAAGCCATCAATTTCATACATGCTCAGTATCAAGGCTGGTGCTGGTCCAAACCGTAGAAAAGAACTGAGCTGTAACTCGACAACCAAAATGAAAGAAGTGCATCAAGGCAAAAAGGGAGCAGATGAAACATATGCTTTCCTGACTATGACACCTGACATTAACAAGTATGGCAAGGTAGAAACAGAGAAAGACATGCTAAGAGAAAAAAGACTAAGTTCTACTCAAGTAAAGCAAGATACATCTCCACATGAAGATAGTATTACTTCACATGGCATTAAAGAAACCTGTCTTCAAGATGAAGAGCAAGAAGAAAGGGAACCAGAGGCATTGTTAAAAGTAATTCCACAGCACTTGCAACATTTCATATTCCGTTCAGGTCAGGGGAAGGATCTTGACTTTCACAAATTAGAAAACCAAGGAAGAAGGAAAATTCTGTTTGTTACCAAACAAGATGTCCCACAGCAACTTCAGCCTGCAGAGCCAATACAAGGAGAGGAGACAAAGAAATGCCTCTGGATTCAAAATGGCACAGTATGTACATTAAATTCAAAACTTCTTCCTCTAAAATCAGAGGACCCACTAAACAGTGAAGTTTTAATTGGTGCAATAAAACGTGGTGTACCAACTGATAGGAAAGGTGTGGGGGAACAGCACAATTCGGGTAAAGGGGAAAAGGCAGAGTTTAATAAAGATCTACAAGCAACCATCCTGGAGTTACAGAAATCACCACATGGTGGGGAGGCACAGAAGGTCAATTTGACTGATATGGAAAGCGAATCTAGCAATGCAATGAACATGAATGTACAACATGAAAGGGAAGATAAAAATATTCAAAAAATGTTACCAGAATCAGTTCCATGCTACAGTCAACACCTCAGTTTCAGTACACATCAAATGAAAGATCCTGACCCTTGCAAATCAGGATCTGAACCAAAGAGTCCTGAAGGCAGAAGTTCTTGGAATTTGTCTCATATAGTGCAAAAAACAGAGCAAGAAACACACTTTAGAGAAACTGTTTTAGAGCCTATTTCTGGTTACATGATGAAACAAAGTCCTCATATGCAAGAAGGAATAAAATGTGTGGTAGGTCTAAAGACTTCATTTCCCAAAACAGGGAAATCAGAGATTGGTTCAATACCACATGATACCCCTTGGGATGAAAATCCTAGAAGGAAATGGGATAGTTCTATTTCAGAGAAAACTACATGGAATCCAAAAAACTTACGAACAGTCTTAAAACCTTTAGATTTCTCCAGTCTCATGTCATCTGAATATGAAAGTCGGAGCTATACATTAGAGTTTATAGGCAAGAAAAGTATAACGAGTCCCAAACATGTAACTTTGAAGACAAAGCAACTACCAATTTCGCAGTTGTTTAATATCATAAGACATTCTACAGAAAACCACAGAAAGAAAAAACAGCACCGCTTTAAGTACAAGATGAAAGGGAGGCAATGGTACACAAGTATAGGAGAGGCATTACTCAGTGCCACTGAATATGCTAAGAGTCCACCATCCAAATCAATGATTGATAAACTCTTATTCAATACAGCAGCAAGGGGCACTCTGTCTAACAGAACACACCAACAAAATGTGGATGGTCATACTACAGAGGAAAAGGAAGAGGTACAAGAAAATGTAGCTGCAAGTTCCTTGGGTCCTTTAGATTTCTTTATGCCTGTTTCATCTGACTCTAAAAACCAGACAAACACAATACAGTTATCAGAAAGGAAAACTATATTGAATCCCAAATGTTTAACCAGGAAGAAAAAGAAATCACCAATTTCACAGATACATAAAACCAATAGACACTTTACTACAAAACATAGGAAGAAACTTGAATCCAATTTAAAAACCAAACTGAAAGCAATGTGGCAAGGTGAAAATGTGACTGATACATTTCCAAATACCATTTTCTTCACTCCAGATACCTCTGACATTAAAAGGCAAAGCAGATTCCAAACAGAGATAGACAAGAGAATATCAGGGTTAAGTCATACACAACCAACACAAATAGAGTCACTAGCTGAAGGGATAGCAAGGTGTTCTGACAAGAGAAGGACTTCCAACTTGGTAAAGGGAACAAAACTACATGATAGAGAAAGTGGGGAAAAGAAGCAAGAACATCTTACAGAAATGGATCCATTCTATGCAGAAAACTTCATGGCAAATACACATCTTAGAAAGGATCCTCATCTTGGTAAATCAGAAGATGTGCTTTTGGGAAAACCTTTTATCTCAAAAAGTCAGTTTTACAAAGGGAATTCAGAAAAAAATGTAAAAATAGAAAAAAACAAAAATGGAAAAGAAAGTCTCAAAGTTGGGCTCCCAAGGATGGAGAAATCAGATAATTGTGCAGAACTCAGTGAGGCAACAGATGATGCCATATCAAATAAATATGATAAAGAGAACATCGGCCATTCTGTTTTCAAAGAAAAAGCTTTCTGTAATTTGGCAGCAATTGTCCCAGATTCTGTTGGCAGGCATTCGCCTGCTTCAGAAGAAATTAAAAGACAGAATGGCAGCCTTAAAATAGCTGACAGGTCAAGTCCCCAAGGTAGACCTTTGCAGGCAAAGCAATCAGCAGTTTCACAATCACTTAATACTGCAGGTTATGCTATTGTAAACATTAATAAGGAACAGAAACAGAACTTTAAAGCCCAGAAGACAGAAGTAGAGAGAAATAAAGTTGCATTAAATGCCCAGCTAAAATCTATATATGTTTCTATACCTCGTCTACTATGCGTAAATATGGAGCAATCACCTAGTACCTGGGATATATATGAACAATCTTCTGAAACAAGAAATTCCCTAAACAAAGCAAAAGTGAGGGAGAAGGAAGGGTATGGACAACAGGTTTTGTTTCAAACAGCTCCACAGGATATCCAGCCATCTGAGTTTGGAGCAAATCAAATGAGAGAGCCTGGTCCTTTCAAAACAGAAGCATCTTTAATCAATACAGTGTGTTCTAGGAACATCACTCCCGAGAAAACAGAAGCTGATTTAATAGATGAAGAAGCAAAGATAAATGTTGCAGAAGAGTTTAATCAAGAATCTGTTTTTTTCTCTAATATACATCTACTTCAAATTGAAAACAAGAAAGAATCTAAAACTGCAGACTGGAAAACAAGGGCAGATCCCAAGACACTTGCCCTGCAAAAGAAACAGCAAGAGCTGTATGTCTCAGGAACTCTCTGGAGTTATCCTAATCCCTACACATCTATTTTTCCTAAAATCATAAGACATAAAGATAAGGCAAAGACAGCTGATGTGGAAAGTACTATGCATACCAAACAGATAAAATTGAAGGTGAAGAGAATACCAGTTTCCCAGCTGCTTGAATATGGTACTGCAAGCAATAAAAAAGAACTGAGAGGTAACATCCAGCAGCAGAAGTCATTCCAGCTGAGTAAAAATGCAGTACATCGAGTTCTAAAGGCTGTTTATGACTCTGGATACTATGTGTCTAGCATTAAAAAGCTTACAAAAGTAAAAATGGAGAAAGACGAGTCAAAAGACAGGGCATGCATTCTTCCACAGCCAAAGCTGGAGAAACCGCTACAAGAAATGCAAAGGTCATTGTCGGGATGTACTGATATGTCCAACATTCTCAGAAAACAGGAACAAGATATTAGAGAAAAGGAACAAAAACACCAAAGCATTTCAGAAGATATATCCCAATACTATATTGGACCGTTAAGGATTAGTTCACAACAAATCAATTACAGTAGTTTTGACACCCCACGAGTTAGAACAGATGAAGAACTTGAATTCTTCATTGCACAAAGAACAAAGGAAAAAGATGTGGGCATTGCCAAACATTCAGTTTCAATTCCATGGGAGAGAGAAGAATCAAAGAGACTAGATATTCCACTAAACTCAAAAGGACAGAATATATTTTTTACAGAGTTGGATACTTCTCAACAAAAGACTTGCCAGGAGCAAGAATTGCTGAAACAAGAAGATATTTCTATGATAAACCTGGAATCTATGGCCTGCCCCATTATGGAACCTCTTCATTTGGAAAACACAGGAAAGGTAGCTGAGGAAGAGGATGTGTACATTAACAGAAAAAATAGTTCACATGTACTGGGAAGAGAAGGATTAAAGGAAACTGCTATCTTTGTAGGTTCTAAAGGACAGAAATTTCTTTATATGAATTCAGAGGTCCAGAACAAAGTGCCTGCAGTGCAGAAAGAACAGGTGAATCCAGATCATGTTCCTGAAAGTATTCTGGATTCTGAATCTTTCCTCAATAAAGACCCTCTTCACTTAAAACAGACAGTGAATACAACAAGAAAAGAAAACGTTACCATCTCTGAAAGTTTCAATGAAAATCTCTGGGGGAAAGAGCAATCAAAGTTGGATATTACATTAAAATCAAATAGACAGAAAATGGACTTTTCAAAAAAATTGAGGATGAAGCATCTAAGTAATTGTTATCAGAATAAAGAGAATATTCTGGAATCCATTTTCCCTTGCATATTACATCACCTTCATATTGAAAATCCCAAGAAAGAAGACTCAGCAGAAGAAATCATGAGTTCAAAAGTTTTAAGCCCAATGGTAGAAAAAGCATCACACAAAGTAGGTATTCTGGTGGATCAACCTCCATGTTCAGAAGGAATAAATCTGCATATTAAAAGAAGAAAAGAACATCTACAAGAAAGTACACACGAAGCTTTTCCAGCATCTGTTTCTCACTCTCTAACGGACATACTTCAGATTAAATCACCAAAGGTAAAGAAAGCATTAAAGGCAGTTGATAGTTTAGGGTACCACACTTCAAATACAAAAGGAATTGGCTTGCTTTTTCCAAGACAGGCAGAGGAGGAAGAAAAATGTACATACGACGCTCTTCCAAAGCCTGCATCTCACTCCAAAACAGATCTATTTCAGTTCAATGCATCTATGCAACAAGAGAAATTAGATGCTATGGATATTCCGCATTATGACTATTTAATTTCACAGACTAGAGGAGCAGTAAAACAAATGGATGTCATAGTTGGATACACTCAGAACAGTAAAGAAAGACAAGCCTTACTCAAAACAGGCCAAAAATGGCAGTACCTACCAATTTCCTATGAGAACTTTTGGGAGCATATATCTTACCCTCAAAAGTATCCTTGTCTCCTGCAACATTTAATGCCTCAGGAAAAGGAAACATTATCAGAAGGAGGTAATTTATCAAGCCGGACACCAGGACTAGACTTGTTTTCTGAAGATCAACTAAGCACTATTACTAAGAATGGACTAGAATGGATTATGCCCTTGAGTACTCCAAGGCAGATGAAAAAACAAGATACAACGCTGCTCTTAGGATCATACCATAAAACTATAAAATATCCAAGTCTCTTATTTCCAAAAGGAATGAAATCATCAGATGGGGTACAGGTCTTTGATTTAATATCAAATAATAGCTCACCCAAGTTAAGACTTGGGAAGAAGATAGAAACACATAAGGCAAATGAAAAGGTACAAAAAGAAGTATGTCTGCCTGTAACATTACATTCTCTTTCTGCATCCATGCCTGTTTTGCAAGAAAGTAAAGGACAGAAGGATAGTATAAAACAAGTTATTAGGAAAGGCGTGATATGCCACAAAAGAAGAACTTCAAAACTGAAGAAATCAGTATTTTCACATATACTCAATACCAGTGACTGTGGTGCCCCAAGTAACAGACTAGAAATGCAGTGGAACGTGACAGAGAAAACGGTCAATGTGAAACATAGAATGAGTGAACTAGATTTGGTTGCAGCAAAAATATGTGAGTCTATTCTTTCTTTACCTCACTTCAAATTGAATAAAGACACAATTGATGGGGTGATTTCAAGTAATGTTAAAAGGACAAAACAACATATATCACAGGGAGAGAAGAAGGATAGAGTGAAAGCAATGGATGTGAAAAGAATAAAAAGCCCTAACATCATTTTGAAGCCAAGAAAGTCATCACTGCCACATATACTCAGTATAAAGGAATTTCCTTTGCTGTTGGACATTATAAAACAAGAGGGCAAGATGCAAGAAGGTAAAGGTAAATCAAGTATGAAACTGACAAACTTGTGTACTTCTTTACCATCTCTATCACATAGTAATTCAAATTCAAGAACAAAAGCAGGTAAAGGTAAGTCAGGAATTCTAAAGGGCTGCCTTCCACCACTAAAGCTCCAGGCATCATCAAATGTCAGACTAGTATCATTTGCAGAGTCAGTTAATAGAGAGAGTTTAAGTAATGTAATAGAATCAAAATGTTTTCCACAGAAAAAGAAGGCAGATAGAGAAAATATAGTAGATGTGAAAGACATAATGGGCCTCATATGTATCACTTTGAAAGGAAATAAATCACCTTTTAAACATTTACTGCATGGAAAGGAACCACAATGGAGCAATAAAAAACTAGAGAAAATTATGCAGGAAGATGAAAGTAATCTAAATGTAGTTCAGAATAAACTCTGTGCTTCTATTCTTTCTCCACTTCACTTGGAATGGAATCCCAGAATAAAAGAGGTGTACATGAGAAGAATAACAAGATTCTGTCTTTCATTATCAACACACCAGGAATTATCAGATACAATGGAAAAATGTGAGCAGCCAATTGATGATAGTTTAAGCAGTATCAAAAAAGCAAAACATATGCCGCAGAAAGACAAAGACAGAGTGGAAAAAGCTTTGGAAAAAAACATGCCTTCCAAAAGAATGGCTCTGGAGGTGAAGCAGCCTTCAGTATTCCAAGAATTAGTGTTGAACATCAAAGAAAAAGGGGGAAAGATTCAGAAAGATAAACAAGTTGAGATTTGGAACAAACCTTTTGCCTCCATCTCTTTTCCACCTTACTCTAAAGTGGGCACAATTAAAGGAGAGGAAGCCATGGAAATAAAAATGAGATCCTCTTTTTCACAACCAAATCTCCAAGAGTCATCAGATACAGAGAAAATAGCATATGAAAAGTGCATTTCTGATAATATCTCAAACCGTGTAAAAAAGGCCCTAGAACCTATACTGCAAAAAGAACAGGAGAGGCAAAACATGGAAAAAAATAGGCCTTTGAAGAAAATGAAATCATCAGTTTCACAGGGAATTCAGTTGGACATCAAAGAGCAAGAGAAAAAGATAGAACATATTAAAGGTGAAACAAGTGTGCTTCTGATGAATGCCTGCGCTATCCCCTCTCCTTCTCATTTACAACTGGAAACAAGGAGAGAAAAAGCAGAGCATGTCACTGAAATAACAAGATACTGTCTTCCAGAACTATCACACCAAAAATCATCAGAGGCAGGGGAAAAAGCAGATGGACTGGCCAGTAAGGGTGATATCACAATCGAAGTACAAAAGGCAAAAGATTACATGCAACAGAAAGAAAAGGATGAAGTAAAAATATCGGCTAAGAAAGACATAATGCATCCAGAAGACAAAGGTCTGAAAGGAAAGAAGACACCTTCACAAGACCTACCACTGAATACTAAAGAGCCAGGGAAAATGAATCAAGAAGCTCAGGAGCAAGGGAAAGAGGACAGAGAAGGTGAGGAGCAAGGAAAAGAGGACAGAAGAGGTGCAGGACAAGAAAAGGTTGATTGGGAAGACACAGAGCAAGGGAAAATGGATCACAAAGTTGAAGAGCAACAGAAAGCAGATGGAGTAGGCATAGAGCAAGGGAAAATGCACGGAGACAAGAGTGAACAGGAAACAGTTCTGTTCCTATATTTGCCTTCCAATTCTTCTCTAATCCATTATAAGTTGGACACAAGAATAGAAGGAGAGAGAGACCAACGAGGAATAATCAGACCTGGTATTTCACAACTAAGGCCTCAGAAATCATCAGAGACCGGGAAAAAAGCAAATGGAGTGCCTAGTGAGGGTGATATCATAAGTGAAGCACAAAAAGCAAAAGATTACATGCAACAGAAAGAAGAGGATGAAGTAAAAACATCAGCTGAGAAAGACTTAATGCATCCAAAAGACAAAGATCTGAAAGGAAAGAAGGCACTTTCACAGAACCTACTATTGAATCCTAAAGAGCCAGGGAAAAGGGATGGGGAAAGCCAGGAGCAAGGGAAAGAAGACAGAGAAGGTGAGGAGCAAAGGAAAAGGGATAGAGAAGTTGAAGGGCAACAGCAAGCAGATGGAGTAAGCACAGAGCAAGGGAAAAGGGATGGACACAAGAGTAAACAGGAAATAGTTCTGTTCCCATATTTGCCGTCTGAGTCTTCTCTAACTCGTTATGAATTGAACACAAGAAAAGAAGGAGAGAAAGACTTACAAGGAATAATAAAATCTGCTGCTTTGCAACTAAGGCAGCAGAAATCATTTGATGCAGGGAAAATAGCACATACAAACTCATTTGGGGTGGATAGCTCAAATGATGTAAAAACAGTACAAGAATACAAGCCACAGAAAGAAGCAGATAGAGGAGAAATAGTAAGTGTGGATTATATAATGCAACCTAAAGACCCAATTTTTGAGGCAGAGCAATTATCACTTCCACACACACTCAATATTCCTGGCAGCAGTAGCTCCAAAACTAGAGCAGTACCAACAAACATAAAAGAAAAATTGAAACATGTACAGGAAAGAAAAAGTGAGCTAGATGAGTTTCTGACAATACCTTCTCTACCTCACTGTAAATTAGACAAAGGAACAGCAGGCAAAAAAGAGGAACAAGGAGTAACAAGATCTTTTCTTCCACCCTCATGGCACATGGAATCATCAGATACAGGGAAATTAAAATATACTTTGTTGTATTTGAATGATACCACAGGTGATTCAAAAAGAAAAAAATACATGGCCCAGATCCAAAATGATAAAGCAAATATTTCAGAGAAAAGTGTAATGCATCTCAAGTACATAGCTGTGAAGGCAGAGAAATCATCCCTTTCCCATATACTAAAAACGAAGGAACTGCAGGTGACCATCAGTAAACAAGGGGAAAAGTCACAAGAAAGTGAGGTGGAAATAGTTGTGCTTCTGAACAAAACTTGTCCTTCTGTCACTTCTTCAGCTTTCCTTGAGTTAGACTCAATAAAAGAAGAGGAAGGCGAACCAGGAATAACAAGAAGCTTTATGCAACCTCTTGAGATCCAGGAATCATTGCCTTCAGGGCAAACAGCACCCACAAAGCCAACAGAGAGCCTTGTAAAGAAAGGGAAACAACTTCTCCCACAGAAGGAAGACGGAGTACAAACAGTATCCATGCATGGCCTGACGCACCCCAGTGATGCTGTTTTCAAGGCAAAGACATCAGTACCTCCACTAGTGTTCAGCATCACTGAGCACAGTCCTCTGAGCAAGAGAAAGGAGCCACAGTGGGGCATGAAAGAGAGAGCAGGACAGAAGCGGGACAGGACAGGATGTCCTCACATGATTCTGACAAAAATTCATCTGTTCATGCCTTTTCTTTCTCACCATAGATTCTCTCCTTCACAACTAAAGCTTCCTATATCATCAGGTGCAGGAAAAAGCAGACGTGCAAATTCAAATGAAGGTATTAGCTCAAATGAAGTAATACTAAAAGCAAATCAACAAATGCCATATAAAGAGGTAAAGGACAGAGTAAAAATAGAAGGCAGGGAAGGTAGAATACTCCCCAAAAGGGTACATTTGAAACCAGAGGCATCCCCACTTGCACTTCTATGCAATAGAAAGAACTGCCCTTTGAATATTGAAGAGCAAGGGGAAGGAGTACAGGAAAGCAACAAGGAACCTGGAGTGGTTCCAAGGAAACCTTCTCCTTCATTGCCTCCTCCTCCATTTTACCTGAATTGTAACACTAGAAGGAATGAAAAGGAAGGCACATTAGGAAAAACACAATTCAGTTTCCCACCACTCAAGATTCAGGATTCATCAGACTCAGGCAAAAAAGCATACACTGAGTCACTGCATGGTTACACGTTAAGCAACTCAAAAGGACCAGTACAACCCATAGCACAGGAAGAAGAGAAAGGTGAACTCAGAATAGATACGGAAGACAAAATGCTTCCCAAATGTACGGACCTGAAGGCAAAGCAATTACTACTCTCAGAGAAACTCAATACCGAAAAATTGCAGTGGAAAAGTAAAGAACAAAAAAGAAACATTCAGCAAGATAAAAATAAACAAGTTACGGGTCTGACAAGCATGAATACTTCTTTACTTACTCCACCTTATCTTAAGTTTGATACAGTAGAAGGAGAAGAGAAGGTGATAAGAATTACAAAAGTATCTCTCCCACAGTCACAGTCCAAGGACTCATCAGATGCAGGGAGAATAGCATGTCCAGAAGCAACCCATGGAGAACTTTCAAGTAATGTAAAGCAATTAAAAGCACACCTGCTACGGAAAGAAGAGAAGGATAGAGAAAAAGTTGTGGATATGACCAGTGTACTGGATCCCAACAAAATGTATTTGAAGGCAAAGAAATTGCCTGTCTTACATACACACAGTTCAAGTGGTCTTCAGTGGAAAACTAGAGAGCAAGAGGAGGAAAAGGTCCAGAAAGTTAAAAGTGGGCCAGGAGTCATGTTGTCTAAGAGTCCTTCTAGATCCTCCCCACTTCACCTTAACATGAGTGCTGGGTTCCAGGAGGAAAGCATACCGATATTAACAAGATCCTCTTTTCTCCTAGTAAAACTCCAGGTATCACCAGCTACTGAGGGAGGCACATATATAAGGCCAATTGCTAGTGGTATTTTAATCTTTCTAGAAAAAGGAAAACATGTGTCGCAGAACAAGGAAGAGGATGATGTGCAAATAGTAAACATCGTAATATTCCCCAAACATCAGGAAGAGAAGACGCAGGAATGTGAAGCTGAACCAGGTGCGGTTCTGACCAAATCCACTTCATTGCCATCCCTATCTCAACTGGAATTGGATGAAGAAACACATTTAGATAATGAAATGCTAAGCCTTAAAAGACCTATTTTGCAGAGAATATCACACATAGGGGAGACTGTACATGGAGAGTCCATTGTTGGTGATATCTCAAAAGATGTTAAAAATGAAAAGCAACATATCCCTCAAAAAGAACAGAAGAACCAAGAAAAAATAATCGATATGAGAGGCACAGATATAACTTTGAAGTCAAAGAAGTCACCTCGTTCCTGTATCCTCCACAGAACAGAACTGCACGTGAACTTTGGAGGGCAAGGACGAAAGGAACATAAAGGTCAAGATAAACCACCAGGTATGATTCAAAGAAAACACTGCATACTCTTTTCCAAACCATTGCCATCTAACCTTAAACTGGAGAGAGCTACGCATGCAGATGAAGAGAGGCTTGGAGGTCAGACATCCTTTTTACTTCCACTAATGCCATCAGCATTACCAGATACAGAGAAAACAGCAGATGCAGAGGCAAGGAGTGGTGATGTAAGAAAAGAAAAACCACATAGGTCACAGAAAGAAAACAGGCATGAAGTGAAAAGGATAGATATGAGGGTCAGGATACACTGCCAAGAGCCAAGGATTTCACCAATGTCACATATCCTTAATGCAAAGGAATTAGTGTTGAATATTAACAAACTGGAGAAAAAAGTACACAAAGATAAAGATGAAGCATGTGTGGTTCTGTCAAGGACTTTTCTTTCTGTATCATCAGCACCTCCTCTTTATCTGGATTCAGGGAACAAAATAGACAAAGACACACCAGGAATTACAGGATCATCTTGTCCACAGCGAAATCTCCAGGTACCCTCAAATACCCAGAAAATAGCAAATAGAGACTCAGTTGAAGGTGATGATAAAAACATTGTTAAGCAAACAGAACAGTATGTGCCCCGCCCAGAGGCAGAGCAACAGTGGACGGCAAACTTCATGATCAGTATCCAGCAAAGGAACGAACCTTCACAAGTCAGGTCAGAAGGAGATTTGAATCGGTTAGTTTTAAATTCAGAGGATGAGGACATTTATTTCACAGGGTTTGGTACCATAAGAAGTGGGAAAAGGCTAGAACGGCTCTTTACAGGGAAAAAGACTCAGCAAGAAACTGAAATAATGGATAACTTAAACCATAAAATCAGTCCTAAGGTTTCAGTCTCACTGCTAAGGAAAATATCTGAGGAACTGTATGTCACATTTGGCACCCCTACAAGTTCAAAAGGATTTTCTGTTTCAGAGAGATATGCTCACCAGCAAGAAACTTCATCAAAACTATCTCCAGAACTTGCAGGTTCATGTAAATTTGATAAGCCAGGGAAAGATGTACAAAGTAATGAAAAAATCAGCAAAATGTTTTCTCCCAAAGTGTTAGCACCACAGACAAAGGGATCACTCAAAAAAATAAGTATCATCATCAGTTGGAATGCTCCCCAAAATATAGAAGAACAAGATATTGTCCTGAAAAAGCAAGTGATCCAACGGTGTGAACGTGGACGCAAGACCAGGCCAAACGCTATCCTTTCTCTTAAGTTTCCACTTCAAAGTGGAAAGCAGAAGACACTATCAGAAACAGATGTGGACAAGAAAACAACAGCACACCCCAGCCTACAGATGCTACCAGGAATACACATGGATATGACAGAGATTGACCGTGCAAAAGGGGGAAAGGATCCGGCATTGCTCATTTCAGAACAAGAGGAAGGTGATCTGGAATTGCTTCCGAAGTCCCTATTCCCTCCCTGGACTTTTCCATTTCAATCAGGAGATCTGAAGGAAAAAGATCAAACAGACGCAAACACCAATATAAATCTAGAGCATAAAAGAATAGAAATGGACAATGATACTACTGTGAATCAGAAAGAAGGGAAATTAAAAATAGGTGCAAACAGAGCTTTACATCTGGAAGAAGAGAAAACAGAGATGCACAAGGCCAGGACTGCCAATCTGGAGAAGAAGAGAGGAAGAATGGACACAAGCAGTAGTGCACACCTGCATCTTCCATCTCTAAAGGCAGAGGAATCTCAAATGAAGACTCAGGCCATCACCGAAAGGGAGAATAGCCACCTAACCATGCAAAAGCAGAAAAAAGAACTAGAAGCATCTAATGCAAAACAAAGCATTCAACTACAAAACTTATTTCAAAGAAATGTTCTGGATTCATTTTATTCATATGTTCCTCTTTCTCCCAAATGTAAAGACCAGAAAGGCAGATTAACAATAAGAGATCTGAAAAGAGAATTGAGCACCAAATATTTAACTATGAAAATCCAGAATCACCCAATTCCACAGATGCTTAATATCACAGGGCGTGGTACACCAAGCAATAGAAAGAAATTAGAGTATGATGTTAAGCTAAAGAACATGGTTTCCTGGAGTAAGGATATCTCAGGAATATTTATCAGAAGTCTTTCTATTTCCATGATGCGTTCACCTCACGCTGACTCTAAGACAAACCGAGAAAGAGAAAAGAGAATCTGTCTTTCTAAATTCCAGGAAAAATCACCAAACACCAAATTCCAGGAAATGTTTAAGAGAGACACTTTAACAATTGTAAAACGGGAACAGAATTTTACAAACACAGTTCCACAAGATCCCCAGCCCTTTGCAGTGGACAAACAACAAATGCAGAAACTTTATAATGTCAAATCAGAAGCAAACCTCAGAAGTGAAATGAATAAAAAGTACTTAAAGGCACAAACAAAAGAACAGATTGTTCCAGGGCATGATGTCTCAAGGATCATTAAAAAACCAGACTTACGTATCATCAAGCAGGAAGAAAAGATTCCAAAACGCATTCTGACACCCACAGAGTGTCCATCTATGCTTGAAGATCCAAAGTTACCCAAGCAAAGGGATCAGAGTGAACCAGTATGGGATATGAGCACACAAAAGGTTCAGCAACAAAAAGCTTTCCTAGGAACTGTGCCCATACCGCCTCAAGTTAAAAGTAATGAAGTCAAAATAGTTGCAGACAGTACAAATGCAGAACATTTACTTCCCATTTGTGAAGCAAACAAAGATATCTCTCAATCCCAGGTTAAAAATATGATCCAAGACAAAGTTTCTTCTGATAAACTGGATAACATACAAGCCTATAAGCCTGACGACTTGAAGTCACCACCTTTTCCAGAGGGTCCAGATACAATATCAACAGCAATATATCCCAAACTGCAGCACAAACCCCTTTTAGAACAGTTTACTCCCAAAGAAAGAAATAAGCTTACTAAACATTTAGAGTCAAAAGCACTTGAAATACAACTGAATCTGATACCAGAGATGGCAAGAAAATCTTTACAAATGTTCAACTTTTATCCAAAAGGGACTATTTTAAAAGATAACAGTTGGAGGTTCTATTCGAGACATAAAACAATGAGCTTTATGTCTCTAGAAGGGACTGACACCATAGAACCTAACTCAAAACATAAATACCAAAATGATTCACCTCTTGTCAGCAGTATGAAGACACTGACTGTTGATGTTTCAAGTGGTGGTGAGGAGACAATCACAAAGCCACAGAGTATTAATAAGCTAGAAAATGGAACATCTTCAGTGACTTCTGCTAGTGAGATGCTATTGCCTCATACCCTCCAAAAGCACTCAGTAAAAGAAAAAGGCAAACTCCTCATGCACTTTTCTGTGAAAACATTGGAGATACAAATGAAAGCCTTTCCCAGAATTGTAAGAGAATCTTATGCAATGACCAGTGCTCGTGAGAGAAAGAAACCCTTATCTAACTGTATTCATCCTGGTTTCACAGGACCAAAACGACAAAACAGAATATTGTTACTTTTTGAGGAAAAGTCTCTCCATCAAATAGATCTTGATTTACAATACAAATACCTTCGTTTTCTCCTAGGGCTTCCTGTTGGAAGTACGTTCCCTAAGCCAAATTTACTTCCCAAACATAATAAGTTAAACACAATTGCAATGTGTAAAAAAGTAGATGCTGGTGGAGAAAGTGGTAATCTTTCCATTGATACAGAACTGTTAGAACAACATATTTCTTTCAAAAAGCAAAGTCCCCATGAAAACTCATCACTCATCGGAAAATTCCCAGAGCCAACCCTTGTGTGTGCTTCTGACCATGATCTGCACAGTCCGAGGAAGAAAGATCCTCAAGTTCTTTCAGAGTCAGAATTCCATGTGACTTCAGAAAAAAACAAACAATATCACGTATGGTTTCAAGAAAGGAATACATATGAATCTGTTGATTTAAGGACCCAGAGAAATGCTACTGGTTCAGCTGTTTCACATGAAACTCAGATTTCTGAAGATTTTATTGATATTCAGACAGATATTGAGAGTCCAGCTGACTTGGACAAATGTTCATGTCTTGAAGTAAGTGAGAGTGAGGAATGTATGTTTCTGGAAGCCAACACTTATTTAAGTCAGGAATCAGAAAACATTCTATTTGAATTACAGACAGGCATTCCTTTGGAAAATCTCTACAAAATCACAACTGATTTGAAGTCATTTTACAGTGAAGATTCAGGTTCCCATTGTACTAGAGAATGCAGAAAGGAAACCTTAATTATTACATCACCTTCCTGTAAGTCCCACAAAAGCAGGAAATACAGATCATCTTTCAAAATGAAATCTCCTGACTGGTTGTGTCATAGTTCATTAAATACTGTGGAAATTGAGTCTAGGTCATCTAGTGTATCATTCAGTGAAGAGAAACTTCCATGGACTAGCAAGAGCAGAACAAGTTACTCTTTAGCTTCCTTAACTGAATCAAATATTAAATTACATCTTGCAAAAAAACAAGGCACGTCTCACATGCACCCAGAAAGCAAAGAAAGAAAGAAGGCCAGATCTGATTTATTTAGGAAGAACAACAGTCATTGGGACCACAATTACAGTTATACACACAGTAAAGAGAAACATGACAGGAAGAAGAGAGTGTATGATTATGACTCAGAAAGACTGGATTGTTTCCAAAGCAAACATAAATCAACATCAAAACCTCATCACAACGATATCAACTTCTATTCTGAAAGAAAACAAAATCAGCCCTTTTTTTATGCCTGTGTACCAGCAGACTCACTGGAGGTTATACCCAAAACCATTCGCTGGACTATTCACCCTGCAACCTTAAAGAAAAGAAACTTCAGAGTTCCCCTAGTGGCAAAGATTTCAAGTTCTTGGAATATATGGAGTTCCTCAAAAAAGTTGCTGGGGTCGCTCTCGGGGTCCCTTACTACAGTTTTTCGCAACTGACATTACCATAGCTAAACTCCTCTGAAGTCGACAGCTGGTCGCTATTGTGATATTCTGTTAATAAAATCATATAATGTCCAATGGCTTCCTCGTGAAGTGTTTTTATATAAAGATAGAAAGTAATCCAATCTTCTAGTGATAGATTGAAATTTGTTATTTACCATTAACAATTTAGAAAGTCCAGGCACTTTTGCTGACTCTGGCAATTTTTCATACCATTTCATCAGGAACCACCAGACTTCATCAGAAATGGATACATCAGATATGGTAAGGTGCAAACCAATAGGTTGGGACGCATAAAATGTGTGACTTCACATAGAGATGTCCTTGCTGTTTGTGGTGTCGGTATGAGTTTATACTGCACAAACACAAAAACTCTGGCGAACCCCATGTCATGCAATTCCCATCAAAAAAGAAAGACTAGTAAATGGATAGTGCATGCTCTGCTCTTTTGAGTATATTCTTGTCAGAATGGAACATCCTTTTTGACTAGATGTTGTAGAGAAAGATTAGCCGCTTATAATTGTACACACCTGATGAAAAGAAGCCTTTTTTCTGCCTACTAGTTTCTCATATTGTACATTTCAACCCGTTTCTCCTCTCTTTGCAGAATCCTTTGGTCCTGGACACTGTAGGAGGCTATCATGTTGGGATGTAGCCCCTGACTTTGCACCCTTATTTCACCACCTAGGATATGTCCTTTGAAGTGGGCAGAAGGATTCCTGGAAGCTATTCCTATACTTTGATAGAAATATATATCAAAGTGAATGTCAATTACACAAATATATAGCCCACTACATCCAGTCTAAACACACCCTAACTCAACTTCCCCTAAATCTAATCCCCAAAATATTTGTAACCTATCCCATCTCACTGACTTGAAGTCAGATGTGATGGAGGGTAAGTCAAAGTGGAAATAATATGTTTAACTAATTGCAGTAAGCCTATCTTACTTTTACAAATCTTTGGGGCCCTGAAGCTCAAGCTTTTTCAGTTTTTATAGTATATCTGCTTATGCAGATAGCATCAATTTATTGTTTTCCATATTATAAACAACAAATTCAAAGTCTACCATATACCATGCCTTGTCCTGGATACTGAACATAACAAAAATTAACAAAGCACAATCTTAAATTTGTTTTAATTTTAATTTTTATGAATACAAAATGACTGTACATATTTATGGGGTTTATGTGATATTTTGATACAAGCATACAATGTATAATGATCAAATCAGAGTAATTAGGGTATCTGTCACTCAAACATTTACTATTTTTTAAACTGTCTTTTTTGAGACTAGGTCTCACTATGTTGCCCAGGCTGGTCTTGAACTCCTGCGCTCAAGCCAAGTAAGTGGGATTAATCCACACCTGGATAAACAAAGCATAATCTTTTTTTTTTTTTTTTTTTAAGATGGAGTCCTGATCTGTCGCCAGTCTGGAGTGCAGTGGCGTGATCTCAGCTCACTGCAACCTCTACCTCCCAGGTTCAAACAATTCTCCTGCCTCAGCCTCCCGAGTAGCTGAGACTACAGGCATGCACCACCACGCCCAGCTAATTTTTGTATTTTTAGTAGAGACAGGATTTCACCATGTTGGCCAGGATGGTCTCAATCTCTTGACTTCGTGATCCACCTGGCTCAGACTCCCAAAGTGCTGGGATTACGGGTGTGAGCCACCATGCGTGGCCAGCACAATCTATTTTTTAATTTCCATTTTTATTTTAGATTCGGGGGTATACGTGCATGTTTTTTACAAGAGTATATTGCGTGGTACTGAAGTTTGGGCTTCTATTGATCCCATCACCCAGATAGTGAACATAGCACCCAATAGGACTCCCTCCCTTCCTCACTCACTTCTTTCTTTTGGGGTCCCCAGTGTCTATTGTTCCCATCTTCAGGTCCAAGTGAACTCAAGATTTAGCTCCCACTTATCAAGGAGAACATGTGATATTTGGTTGCCTGTTTCTCCATTGGCTAATTTAGGATAACTGCTTCTATGTTACTACAAAGGACATAATTTTGTTCCTTTTTGTGACTGCACAGTATTGCATGGTGTATATGTACCACATTTTTCTTTATCCAATCCACTGTTAATGGACACCTATGTTGATTCCATTTCTGCTACTGTGAATAGTGCTGTGATGAACATACGAGTACATGTCTTTTTGGAAGAATGATTTATTTTCCTTTGGGTATATACCCAGCAATGGGATTGCTGGGTCAAATGGTTGTTCTATTTTTGGTTCTCTGAGAGATCTTCAAACTGCTTTTCATAGTGACTGAACTAATTTGCATTCCCACTAACAGTGTATAAATGTTCCTTTTTCTCTACAACCTCACCAACATCTATTATTTTTTGACTTTTTGATAATAGCCATTCTGACTGGTGTGAGATAGTAGTATCTCATTGTGCATTTCTCTGACGATTACTGATGTTGAGTATGTGTTCGTATGTGTGTTGGTTGCTTGTATGTCTCCTTTTGAGAAGTGTCTGTTCACGTCCTTTACCCACTTTTTAACGGAGTTGCTTTTTCTTCTGGATTTATTTAGGTTCCTTATAAATTCTGGATATAAATTTTCTGTTGGATGCATGATTTGCAAATATTTTCTCTTTCTGTAGATTGTTTGTTTACTCTGTTGAGAGTTTCTTTTGCTGCAAAGCACAATCTTGACTTGCAAAACTCACAGTGTCAGGTCAGGGAAGAGAGACAGTCTCTTGAAAGGTCCATAACATGTATAGACACATAGACATATAAACAAACACCACCTGGTGGCATCTCATTTCCCCAGTACACATGCGTATATTACTGGTATCTCTGCTGGCAAAAAGAAAGCAGTCCTGAGGCCACAATTATTTGGCCTAAGTCATCTATCAGGAATTACCTATTTGGAGTAGATGTTGACAAAACGATAAACGTCCAAACCAAGTCTTCTGGTGACCCACATGTTCTGGCTTCTTTTAGAGATGTAAGATTCTAGGGGAGCCAAAAGGCACATGTTTGCTCTTGGCTTTAAATTCCCATATTATAACAAATGGTCATGGTGTAGCCATATGCCATTAAAACCAGGGAGAGATATTTAGGCTCAAGTTTTAAGGTAATGAGGGAACTTGGTGGGGTGGGGTGGAGAGAGTGTTTGTCATAAGCGATTTCCCTGCAAGATTTAGACTTTGGCAAGAGAATTTCTTAGTTTTACTGCATACTACTGAACTTTTCAGGGCCTTGACCCAGTACGTGGAAGAAAAAGAGAAAGCAACAGGAATTCATTTTTAAGTCAGAGATTCCCACATTTTCCCAGTTACTGGTGCCCTTAATATCTCTAATTTTTCCACTGCACCTCTAGGTCAAAATAAATTGCTAATGATAGCACTAAAAGTAGCTTAGGTCTAAACAACTTAATTATTACTCATATCTTTTTTTTTTTTTTTTTTTTTTTTTTGACACAGAGTCTCGCTCTGTCACCCAGGCTGGCGTGATCTCTGCTCGCTGCAACCTCCACTCCCTGGTTCAAGCAATTCCCCTGCCTCAACTTCCCGAGTAGCTGGGATTGCAGGCACCTGTGACCACGCCCAGCTATTTTTTTTGTATTTTTGGTAGAGCCTGGGTTTCACCATGTTGGCTCGACTGGTCTCAAACTCCTGACCTCAGACAATCCATCCACCTCAGCCTCCCAAACTGCTGGGCTTACAGGCATGAGCCACTGTGCCTGACCTTATTCATATCTTAACAACTTAGTTGTTGCTTAAAGAATAGTACATATAAGTTGAAATAAAAACATTTTTATTTCCTTTTCTTTTTTTTTTTTCTTTTGTTTTCTTTTTTGAGACTGAGTTTCACTCTGTCGCCAGGCTGGAGTTTAGTGGCTTGATCTCGGCTTGGAGTTTAGTGGCTTGATCTCAGCTCACTGCAACCTCCACCTTCCAGGTTCAAGCGATTCTCCTGCCTCAGCCTCCCAAGTAGCTGGGAATACAGGCACATGCCACCACGCCCAGCTAATTTTTGTATTTTTAGTAGAGACGGGGTTTCACCATGTTGGCCAGGATGGTCTCGATCTCTTGACCTTGTGATCTGCCTGCCTCGGCCTCCCAAAGTGCTGGGATTACAGGCCTGAGCCACCACGCCTGGCCTATTTCATTCTTAACCACAATTACTGAGTGAGATGTGTGTGCCTGTTGGGCATGACACAACTCCTCAAATTTTGGAATTGGATGGAACACCACACTGATTCTTGTGCAATTCTTGCTTTTATTTCAGCAATGGCTGAAAACTCAGCTCGACAAAGAAAGTATGTAATGGAAAGGAATGTAAGTACCATGCAATTATAAAACTGTGAACTCTCTTGAGCTAATAATTCATACAGTGTCCAACAGATGCCGCTGTGTTCACAGCTCAAAAATGCTCCATGTCACTGCAGAGCGCATGTTTGGAACTGCTGCCTCAAATTTGTTGCAATGCTTTGTTTTCTGTACTTTGTTCAAAAGCAATGGGATGATAAGAGGTGATAAGAGTGAGAGAAGGGGACAATTGAAAGCAGTGAGAGACTCAAGCTGGATTTATGGCATTCTGCCACCAGGTTACCCCACGTACACACAGCCACTCTAATTGGAATCACTTTACATTTGTGACAAAACTCTGGTGGGCCTTAGTACCTTCCCATAATCCATTCTCTCCCCCAACTCTCTTAGCTATTTTATTTATTTAATTTATTTATTTATTTTGAGACAGAGTCTTGCTCTGTTGCCCAGGCTGGAGTACAATGGCACGATCTCAGCACACTGCAACCTCTGCCTACCAGGCTGAAGTGATTTTCCTGCTTCAGCCTCCCGAGTGGTTGGGACTACAGGTGCCTGCCACCACGCCCAGCTAATTTTTTTTTTTTTTGTATTTTTAGTACATACAGGGTTTCACCATGTTAGCCAGTCTGCTCTCAAACTCCTGACCTCAAATTATCCTGTCCGCCTCGGCCTCCGAAAGTGCTGGAATTATAGGCACGAGCAACAGAACTTGGCCCTCTTAGCTATTTCATACCTTTGTTTCTCTTCTCAAACTTCGAATACCTTCTACCCACACTCAAAAGCAGAT